ATTATCCCTTTTTAATTGGACTTCAGGGACACAACAAGGCCACTGTTTGACCTGCCTTTCAAAGGTAGGGGCTGTAGATTTACTTAGGGTTTTTCTCTTCTTTTGTGTTTTCAAATATTATTCCTTTCTTAAAAATCACTTAAAGGTTGTTTATTGAGAACTTTCTATCGACAAAGTCTCGTGCCCTACATTTAGGTCCACTGTCTTATTTTAAATCTTTCAGCTACAACTACCCCATAAAGTGAGCAGACGCTCTGACCACGGGGTCAAGTTACATCATTCAGGGTGATGCAGCTGGATCAGTGGTATCAGGGACTGGCTGAGTCAGCCTGGCTCCAGAGCACAGCCTCTCACCACCTACTCCCAGCTACCTTACAGAGGAGTCACATGGAACTTCTCCTATGACAAAAGAGGGCACAGTATAATGGACTCATGGCCTGCTCTACAAATTGAGGCTGGACATTTTCCTGGCGAGTGTTCTCTGAAGGCCTGCCTTAGGGTTGCATTTTCCTGTCTCCAGAAAGATCTGTGTGTGGGAGGCTGGCCAGGGTGGAGCTGAAGTGCGCAAGCATTTGCAGCTACCCTTGCCTTCTCTCTTTAGTCGTATTCTAATGATAAGCTGGGGAAAAAAGTCTTGCGTAAGAACAAATCAGAGAGTTACAAGTTGCATATTTGGAGCCTATTTTTGTACATAGAGAGGCATAAGGAAAGGCCGAAGGGAAGCTAAGCTCTGAGTATGGCCATGTGCGGGGCAGTACTCCACCCTATACATCTGTAAGACTCATCTGAGCCCCGTGACCATCTTGGGAGGGCAAAATTCATATTCCCTTTCTTAGATGAGAAATGAAGGGCTCAGACATGTCATAACTTTCCCTGAAGTACAAGATAATACAGAGCTTGCCCAGGATGTGAACTCAGGACTGTATGTGTATAGAGATTTTCAGCTATACTATCCTGCCTCAGAATTTTTCCAACATGAAGGTTCAGGGAGATATCTACTAGACTATAAACTCCATGAAAGAAGGGATTGTCCATCTTTTTAACCTTTGTTTCCTCATAAAGTTGACATGCAAGTAATAATTATTTAATGACTAAGTGATAGACCTATGGAGTGACAGATAAACAGATTGATGATGAGAAGAATGCACAGATAGAATGACATTTCTTTCCATGAACTTTTACATGAATATAGAAAACATTCCAAGAATGTTATCTATTACCTTTATATTTTGCATCGATGTGCACATGCAATGTTGTATTTTTCTACTAGTAAACAGAGCTGAATAATTAGGATGATCTGAGCTCTTTATTTGCTCTTTCATATCATGTAAGAGTTACTGCCATGTGAAAATATGGATTCACATTAAATCCTCTCTTTCCTCTGCTTTTTCTTAGCTAGTGTCCAGCAAGTGACACTCTGCCAAGAAGCTTGTCATTATTATTTTAGCTGTCATGGTGCTCTTTCCCTTCTTCTGTGGACTCAATGCACTTTGAACTCAAAATTTATTTAAGCTAATCACCGAGCTCTTGACCTCTATTTTTCATTTAGAATAAATTTTAAAATTGCACACTTTACCGGGACCAAGAAGATCCTATATATTCTGACTCCTCTTTACTCTCCACTCTTGACTCCTCTCCTAACTCTCTCCCTTGACACCACTCTTTAGCCCACTGACCAGCATTTTGGCTTCACCTCAAATACAACAAGCATGATCTAACCAAGTAGAAATACTTGCTTTTTCCTGTGCATAGAGTGGTCTTCTCCCAGGTTTTTACCTGATGGCTCCTCCTCATCATGCAGGACTCATTTATTTATTCATTCATTTGTACATTTATTTGTTCATTCATTCAATGAATACTTATTGAGTCCCAAGTTTGTACCAGACATTGTCCTAAATGCTAGTAATGCAATAGATAACAAAGCAAAGTCTCTCATGAAGTACATGTGTTTGCCAGGGAGAAAAACAAATAAGCAAATAATATAAGGAAAAGATAAATGCTTAAATGTCAGCCTCCATGACTATAGCTCACGTTTCCTCTCCCAAGCTACTGTCTATTCCATATAGAAGCCTGCTTTGTTCTAGTGATAGTATTTATTAATGCTGTAAACAAAAATGTTTATTCTATTTATTTTCTCTATTATTCAAGATGATGAGAGTCTTGAGTTTAAGGGCCTTGTCTATTATTTGCTTTAATATTCTAGAGAAGTGCCTGGTACAGAGGAGGAGCTCAATGAGAAAAAGAATGATGTGATATCATCTCCCTGTCTGTCTAGGATTTTATAGTATTTCTGTGACTCACAGGAGAATACAGACAGCCAGGAGCCAGTGATGTGCCAGGTATTGTGTTAGTCATGGGAGACCCAGCAGTGAGCGACATACAAGATCCCGAGAAGGAGAGACAAAATTAAACTAATACAAGGAATTAAATAATTTTAAAATTATGACAACTATTAATAATATCAAGAAATAGGTGGGGATGAGGGCTATTTGGAAAATGTAGCAGGAGAAGGACTTTCCTGAAGGCCTCATCTAAGGTGAGACCTGATGTAAAGCAAATGGGGTTAGATCACGTGGTTCACCTCAAAGTATATGCCCTGAAATTTGAAATGCAGATATTTTAAAGGTTGGTCTTAATGATAAAAATGAGGTCTTGAGGTCATTTTGTTTCATGCTAAGGATGTTGCTACTGAATTATTAACAATCTGTTTTAGTGGTTGCATTAGTAGAAGCCAAATGCTTTTAGAGCCTTTTCTAAGTTCACATGGTTTCACTGATTTTTGTCCTAACTTCAAAATACAGGTTAAATACTACTGGTCTTTTTTTTATAGGTGATGACATCAGGCACAGAGAAGTATAGTGATTTCCCCTTCACATTTTTCCCATTCAAATGGCTAATAGAAGACTTGATCTGTCAAACTATTGGATCAGCCTAACAAAGTTTTGAAAAATATCATTCAAAATCCACTTCTAAGCTTCTTGGCCTTCACCTTCATCCTGTACGTTATAATTTTCATTTCTCAGCTTCTCCTTGGTTCTAGTGATAGTATTTTCTTATATTATTTGCTTGGCCTGTGGTTGAGAGGAAAAGAGCAATGAACTAAGAATCAGAAGGCTTGGTTCCCGGACCCACTCTGCTTCTTAACAAGAGTGCTGACTTGGGCAAGTTACTGAAGATTTCCAAGCCTCAGTTTCCTCACCTGTAAAATGCCTCAGAGTGCTACTGAGATGATGAAACATAATAATGAAGACAACAGTAACATGAATGTAGTTTGTTCAAAGAATGAATAAGAGTGTGTGAGTTTGTAAATGAGGAATCTCAGAGCTTCTCTACTTTTGCAACTTCTGTGCATGTGATCTTCCTCATTAGGGTTTTGGTTGTCGTTTTTTCAGTCCTCTGGGGTCCTCTTTCCTTTGTACTCTTCCGACCTCCTTCTTTGATAACTCCATTGCAGCGGGAGCTGCTCATGCTGTGTTTGACTTTAACTGGTGCTTCCATTTTGTGATATGGTATATAGCGTAGTGGTTAAGACACTAAATTCTGGGGTCAAATACCTGGCTTCTGATCATTGCCTTGCTATTTACCATTTTGTGACCTTGTGTTATGTCTCCATCCTCTCATCTGAACGTGGAGCGAATGACAGTATTTACTTCATAGGGTCAAGTGAGTATCAAATGAATTGACACATGTAATTGGAAGTGTCTGGCACATAGTAAGTGCTCAGTATTATTAGCTGTTGTTATTGTTTACATGTCCTCCTTGTGGATGAGCTCTGTGACTTGACAATGTAGCTTCAGAGTTAACAAAGGCCAGGGAGGGGCCATGTTCTGTAAGATTAGGTAGCCGATTAATAGTATTTACATGGTCATTGTACTAGGCTCTCCAGAGAAGGAGATATATATGCATGTGTATATACATGTATACATGGATATATACACACATACAGATATAATACAGATACACACATATATAACTTTGATTATGTATAATATACCTTAGGTATATGATATACATTTGTTAATTATGAGCAATTGGCTCACATGATTATGGAGGCTGAGGAGCCCCATGATCTGTCGCCTGCAGGCTGGAGACCCAGGAAAGCTGGTGCTGTAGTTTAGCCTGAGACCAAAGGCCTGAGAACCAGGGGAGCTGATGATGTAAATCCTAGCCCAGGGTTAGAAAGGATAAGATGAGACAGTCCTACTCAACAGTGAGGCAGAAAAAAAGTAGCAAATTCTTCCTTCATATTTGTTTTGTTCAGGCGGACCACTGATTCAAATGCTGATCTCATCCAAAAACACCCTCACAGACACACCCAGAAATAATATTTAATCTTGATGCCTGTGGCCAGTCAAATTGACACATAAAATTAACCTTCACAATCATTATAGTTTTTTGACCCTTTATTGAAAGAATTGGGTTATAAATTCATAAATTGAAAAAAAAAAAAAAACCCTAGCGCCCCAGATTGAGCAACACTGGTAGCATTGTTTTCTCTCTCTTGTTTGTTGTTGTTGTAGAAGTCTTAGTAGAAGTGGTAAGGTTATTATACATATGATGGTAGAGTTGGGCTTATACACACGTGTGTATATACACACATACATATCTATATATGTAAATGCATATATACATAGATGTGATACACATCATAGACATAAATGTATATCATATGTCAGTGTGTATCATATATAAGAATGGCCTTGTACAGCCCTGGCTGATGTGGTTCAATGGATTGAGTGATGGCCTGCAAACCAAAGGGTTGCTTGTTCAATTCCCAGTCAGGGCACATGCCTGGGTTGTGGGCCAGGTACCCAACAGGGGGCATGTGAGAGGCAACCGCACATTGATGTATCTTTCCCTCTTTCTCCCTCCCTCCTCCTCTCTCTAAAAATAAATAAAGTCCTTTTTAAAAAAAGAATATCCATGCACAAACATAGATGTGTGTGTGTATTATGTAAAAATGGAGAAAGTAGGAGAGCTAGTGGTAGAGGTTGTAGTAGTTCAAGTTTGAGTGGCAGAAGTGTGGAATTGTAGGAAAAGTGGTAGTGGGGGTAGTGGCAGTAAGCACTTTGCGCCCAGCATGTCAGTAAATACAGTTTAATTTAAGTCAGAAAAGAACAGACTTGGGTCCTATTACCCATCCAAGGTCACAGGTGAAGCTGAGATTCAACCCACATCTATCTTTCCATAACCTATATCTCCTTATCACCATTCTGCCCAACTGCTTCATTGAATCTTCATCTTTATTGATCATCTAAAATGCAGAATATGGACGTTTTTCTAAAAACTTTTACTTATTTATTTTTAGAGAGAGGGGAGGGTAGGGAGAAACATATGGAGAGAAACATCCATGTGTGAGAGAAACATTGATCAGTTGCATCTTGCACACCCCCAACCAGGGACCTGGCCCACAACCCAGACATGTGCCCTTACTGGGCATAAAACCAGTGACCTTTCAGTTTGTGGGATGAGGCCCAACCCACTGAGCCACACCAGTCAAGGCAGAAGACGGAAGCTTTATCAGCTCATGAGAGGAAAACTTTCTTGAAATTTTTTGTGCGTATTTTTGTATACCTGGCACAAATACGTGTTGATAGCATGGATGTATTTTTTTTTAAGTTTAATCATCAGTCATTTAATTGAAGAGAAAGATTTCTTAGGGTGAAGGCCTGGGGGAAAATAGTCTTGCAAGAAGTATTTATTGGAAATAAGGATTTTCCCAGTTTGGGACTTTGGGACATGGAGGAATCACATGGTCTCATACTTCCTTGTCAACAAGAACCTATTGAATGTCACACACTCATACCTCCTTGTCAACAAGAAACTATTGAATGTCACACACTCATACCTCCTTGTCAACAAGAACCTGTTGAATGTCACACACAGCAACCCCTGGCTAAGCGTCTCCTGGTCTTGTCTCCAAAATGTGTGACGCATTGAAATAAGAAGTGGAAGAAACTGAGGTCTACCTCCCTAATAAAATAAACCCCGAAGTGCAGCTATACAGGTTTTGTTGTTCAAGTCTCAATCTTTCTACTAATGTAAGCTCTTTAGATTTTCCAGAACTGTCTTGCAGTGAAACTTTTTAACCCAACCTCAGGCAATGTGATGCAGAGGAAGATGAGAAAGGAAATGTGCCTGTCAGGTATTTCCCACATGTTAACTCAGTTATTCCTACAGTGATCCTATGAAGCAATTAAGGCTCTGAGAACCCAAATGACTGCTTGAGACCACACGGCCAATAAGAGATGGATATGCTGAGTGCCTAACATATGGTAAACCCTCAACAAAGAGCAACTAATACTGAGATGGATAATTTCACTCTTTGATCAAGTGAATAGATGTTTGAACGAGCTTTGTGTACCACTTCTCCAGTGTATACAGCCAAATATAGAGGTTGGCAAATATAGAGGTTGTGTACCACTTCTCCAGTGTATATAGCCAAATATAGAGGTTGGCAAATTATTCCCCAAAAGAGAATACTGTGTCCCAAGGGTGGACATGGCAGATGCAGATGAAGATAAGAGGAGATCCTGAGACCAGGCTTCAGCCAGAGAGAGCTCACTTGTTCAAAAATTCATTTTGAAGATAGATCTTCAAGGGATCTTGAAGAATCACAATGAGAATCTGCTTTCATAAATCTCTTTTAACCCTTGCATCACATTTATGGAACTGTTGTTTCTTCTTGAGCACAGATAATCTTGAAGATATTGTCAAGATATCCTAATAAAACATGTTTTATTATATAGTATTTAAGTTACCAGAGGCTTCCTATAAGAAAATCAGGAAAGATAGAGACCTGATGCTATGCCTGTGATGAAAAGAACTTTCTAAAATGCAAACCCCAAAACTTAATTAAAACACACATACACACACACACACACTCTCTCTCTTTCTTTCTTCTCTCTCAAACTTCCGTCTGCCAATGTAATAATATTACTAGCACACTTTTTGTAGAAGGTCTATGTGAAGAGGGAAAATATTTTATTCAGTATCCACAATATACCTTTAAAGTAGATTTTATTATTGTTGTTTTGTAGGGTAGGAAACTAAGGGTTAAGGGATTTATCGAATACTTTATAATTAGAAAGTATAAGAGCTGGGATTCAAATTCAAATCTGTGTGACCTCAAACTCCAAGTCTGTCTATAATTCTATAGTTTCTCCCAATTATGTCTACAGTCCTGGAGATAGACTATAGACTTAATAAATGTGGAAAGAAAGAAATTGAAGCGTAGACATATTTAATTCATAGAGTTATTTCTTCCCTGCAATCCAAGTCCTTTATATCAACCCACACTGCATTAAATCAAGGCAGATCTCAAATCTAGTTTTAATGGACCAAGAAAAAGATAAAAGACATTTGCAAGTAGCAAAAAAGGAGGTTTAAATATATCTACAATATCTTTTTTCCCTCTTAACATTAATCCTGAGTCTGCCTTTCTGCAAAGACAATTGATCTGAAGATGCCTTTTTTACATTTGGGTGAAATTCTTTTTGATCAGCTTAAGTCAGGTATTTATTCATTTCCAAGAAAAGTAGTACAAGAAATTGATTAGACACCTTCTTTCAATTTTTCCACAAATTGTTTCTTATTAATAAAGTTAATTTACCATAGACCCGATAAGATTGTTAGGCCACTGGAGCATGAGATACATGGGATAGTCTATAATTTAAGAAAGTTTCTTTTGATTACTTCATGCAGGGATAAAGGAACAAAAGAGTGAGGGGAGAGATTACTGATGCATTATTACTTTTTCTCTCCAGCAAAATTAACTATTCATACATATTTAAAATATTACAGAGACCACGAAAAAAGATACCTGAAAAAATCCAAATGGCTAAACAAAGGAGAGAAAACAATTGGGTGACATGTGCTTATGCTATAATAATAAATGGGGAGAAAAAAGAAAAGAGAAAACGCCAACCTTTTCATTGTCTAACAACTATCAGATGTACCTATAAATGGAAAAATAAACAAAACAGGAAGACTACCAAAATGCTAAGACTTTACTTATGTTAAGGTGGGAGAACTATAGTAATTTCTCTCCCCTTTACTGTCCACATCAGTTGTGGTGTAGTTATTTTGCATTTGCTATGGGTACAGTTGAAGTCCCTTTCATTTCACTCTCCCTTGCTAGAGGCAACTCCAACTGTGCATGCAGGAGTGTATTCATTTAGTTTATTTCTTATACCTCAGCTACAAACTCACATATTTGTTAAAGTATTTTACATTTTTGTAAAAATGGCGTATTATTTTATCCTTCCATAACTTGATTTTTTCCAAAGCTGTGTTTTCATATTATCTGTTAATGCCTGTAAGTCTAGTTTATTCATTATATTTACACATTGCCTGTATTTCTTTATTACACATATCCCAGTTTGTTCACGTATTTCCTTAATGAGGAACATTAAGGTTGTCTTAAATTTTCATCCTTTCAAATGCCGCTGCAGTAATCATCCTCATGTATTTACAGGTGATTATGAGCAGATTTCTCTCGGGTTTTTTTTTTGTTTTTTATTTAGAAGTTCTAAACAAAAGTAAGCAAACAACTTCAGTTTTACTAGGTATTGAAAAGTTATCCTCCAAAATATTTGTGCCAATTCATACTCTCCAACCAGTATGAAGAGTTCCTGTATTCCATTTTCTTCTTAAGTGAGGTTTTTTCCCAAACTTTAAGATTGTTGCTAAAGTGAAGGGTGTGAAACAAATTCTGACTGTCTTGATTTTTATTTCCCTGTTTACTATGAGGTTATTTGCTTTTGTTCAATTTTCTATGGGTTTATTTGTCTTTCTGCAGCAGGAGTTTCCGATAGAGTTTCTATATTAGCTCTTCATTCCACTTTGCTATTGTGATATTTGTAGGAGGTTAATCTAGTTAAGAAGGTTTATCTACTTGGAATGCTTTCTTGCATCTATTAAAATAATCTGGACAGGTTTTCATTTCGTTTTCATTGTTTCAATATGATTAATTGCAGTGACAGAAATTCTAATGTTGAGTCATCCTTCAATTGGGAAATTTTTAGTTGTTTCTTTAGTTATTTTTATTACTAATTCATTTTTCTATTGTCACTTAATTGTCTTAAGTGAGATTAGGCTATATTTTTATTTCATTGTTTGGTCATTTTGTGGTTTTATATCAAAATTACAATACCATTTAAAAATGAGTCATGTAGGGTCCCTCTTTTTCTGTTCTCTGACTCTGGTCAGGAAACCTTGCTGATAAAACTCTTTGGTGGAGGAAAAGGCACCAGGTGGGAGAAGTGTGGAGGTAGGTAGAGGAAACTGTGGGTGTGTGTACTATTGATTCAAGCCTTTAGTGGTTCATCAGCCTATCAGTCTTTCTATTTCTTCTCCAGTCACTGTGGTAATTTTGTTACTCTCTAAGGTTGCTGATTTTCTCTAGATTTTCAAATTTATTGGCAGAGAACTGATCATAACATTTCCATTTTTGTCTTCTTTCTTACCTCTAACTTGTGTGTGTACATATGTGTGTGTGTGTGTGTATAAAACCTTCTCATTCTATCCTCCTTACTATTAACTTTTCCTTTAATATTTTCCATCCTTTAATCTTTCTGTGCTACCTTCCAGGTAACGTCCTCAGGTCTAATTGACCAATTCTCTCTTCTGCTGCATCCAGTCTACTTTTCAACCTATACATTACATTTTTTTTATTTCAAGAACTATATTTATGATTTCTATAACTCCTTTCTCCTGTCTCCTAATCTGCATTTTCTCTTTTTATACACTTTAATGCCTTTTATTCCTCACTTCATTTCTTTGAACTCTTAAAACAAAGTTACTTTAAAGTCACTTTCATGTCATTCTGTTATTTAATAGTCCCATAAGTTATATCTTCTGACTATCTATGGTGACTCATCTCCTTGTGGGGTATGCACTTTGACTATAAGCTTGTTTTGAATGGAAATCATTTCTTTAAGAGACCATAGGCGTCTTGGGTTGTGCAGTCATGTTTACCGAATGATTTCAGAGTTGCTTTAGAAGAGGGGAGGGCTGGATTTCAAGTAGCCTTTTGGCTTTGCATCTCTGAAATACACAGATAATGTGGGTTCAGAACCCACAGCTGTGCTTTGGTGGTAGGTTTTCAAGGTTCTGATTTCTCATGGCGACTCTTTTAGCTCTATAGGCCATAATTGGATAGCAGTCTTTGCTGCTCAGTCCTCAGAAAGTGCACAGATATTTTTTAGAATTTGTTTTACAGATGGGATGGCATTTTGTGACTCTGGACTTTATGCTGATGGCTCAGTTTCAGCTTTCCATTCAGATGAGGCCTGTGGCTCAGACCTCTGACCCAGACATTAAATCTGCAGCTGACCAACACTGAGATCTCCATCTGGTTCCGATTTCCCTGAGTCCCCTGGCTATAGTGCTCACTCACATCTTTAACTGTGAGATGCCTCTCTAAGTCTGGCACAGGGGGATTTTTACCTTATTGATTTCCAGATGAGTTATATATTCTTTGTATAATTCTTTGCATTGTTCGATATCATCCAAGATTTCTATGTATTTAGAGCAGAAATGGCATGATTTATGCATCTGCTGAGGTTACCATATTGTCCAGACATACTTATATTACCTTTCTAATTAGGAAAAAAATACAAAAAAAATTTATGATATATTTAAAGAAACACTTTATTTTAACTAACCTTTTTTTTTTTTAAATCTATGCTTCTAGTGCTGAATTTGAAGAACCGCATAATTATGAGGCAAGAATTTCATATCTGAGACACTCTGGCAACTCCATTAACCTGTGCACTGCAGAAGAAATTGCTGATTGTAAGTCTACTAAGCCAATTAATAATGTAACCTCATGTGGAATGAAAATGTGTCAAAAATGGTATTTTCCCTCAGCTCACTCTAAGTTTAAACATTCACACCCACGTTGCTTTACCATCTAATTTCCTCTTTTCCCTTTTGTCTAGTCTCTTAAAAATATAAATATATCCAGTTGGGCATCAATGCTATCTCATGACTCCTAGTGCTGCCTTCCGTCTGCCTTCATCTCGTCTTTCCACCAATCCACTTAGATGCTTTGCCTTTGGTTGCTAGCTGGGAGGGAAAATCAAGATATGGTGATTCATTTTTCTTCCTTGTCCTTTTATAGAAATTTCATCTCTCTTCTTATGGTGTCCTTCTTAAACTCTCCTGGTAAATCTTTGTGTGGAGAGAGAGATAACAGACCATGAGAACTAGGGTCCTGTATTTGGCCTGAATAGGAGCATAGGATTCATTGAATGGCTCTGACCACTGGTTCAGGGCTAAGTCTGCCTGTCCCTGGTATCGCCAAAAGAGCTCAGACCCTTCTGCAAAAGTAGAGACCTCGTCAGGTAAGCAGATGAAGAAGCAGAGACTCATAGCATTTCTACAAGTTTCTCTATCTTTGTTCTGCCTATATCAGCTAATTATCTACAAAAAGAATAGATGATGGTGCCAGAATAAACACTAGTGTTTATGGAGCTTATACTGTGGTCCATAGTTCTGTGTTAAGTCCTCTGTGTTTACCTCTGCTGATAGAACAATTTTCACCCCCTTTTAGAGTCAGGAAACTCAAGATCAGAGATTGAGTTACACACAGTCACATAAGTGGTATGTCATAGAGCCATAATGTGAAACGGGCTCAGCCTGCTTCCGAGAGCCACACAGTTTCCACCACTTTATGCTGCTTCTCCTTCAAGGAGGTTTAGCTTCCCCTCAAGAGGGTTAGAAAGAGATCATCTGGTCCAACCTCTTTATTGTATAGATAAGAAGCCCAAGGCTCTGGGAGAGGAAGCCATTTGTCTATAGAATACATACTTAGGGGAATACATTCATAGAAAGTTTGTGGGGTAAGGGTCAGGACCCATTGAACTTTCCCTTCCTTCCCCCATGAAGTAAGGGGTTGAAGAATTATGGGAAAAACTCACTCTCTCCTTCATAGACAAAGTCTAGATTTTTCCCATATGGCTTGTAAAATGCTAGCCAGGAGAAGAATGACTCCGCCCCCGGTATTCCTAAAAGGTAATGCTGGCCCATATTTGAATTGTCTGGGACCCTGCATGATGGCATGGCTTCTCCAGTTCTCACATTCACGTGAATTACCTGGGGATCATGTGAATATGTGGATTCTGATTCAGTAGCTCTGGGTCGGGACTGAGAATCTTCATTTCTAACAAGTTCTCTGGAGATGTTAATGCTGCTGGTCCACAAACTACACTTTGAATAGAAGGGCTGTAGGCTCCATTTGGGCTGCATACCAGCTGCATGCTTTTCTACAAGGCTCAGGGCTCACAGGGCCAAGGAGGTGCTCCAATTAATGCCTGCAACTTCTCCCTCTGGACTACATGAGAACCACTCGCCTCTCCTCAGTCTTACTGAGAGATTTTTGGGTTACTTCCTTCATGGATGGTGCTGCTGAGGAGGCAAGTGTCTATAAATGAAAAGAGAGAGAACCCAGAAAATAAGCCAGTGATATAACATTAGGAAGCCTAGGGCAATAGATAGAAAGGGGATAGAGTGGGAAATGGTGAGGGCAAAGAAGGCATCCCCTGCCAGAGAGGGCGTTCTTGTGGGAGATAGATATAGACCTGCCTGGGTCAAAGAAGCTGAGGTTTGTGATCAGAATGATTCTGTTATGTGTCCTCACTCCTTTCCCAGCCTCTATTTAAAGAGACAGCTATGGTTTCCCTACAGAAAAAAAAGGAAGGAAGTGGGCTATTCCACTGCCACTTGTACCTGTTCATTTAACTCTTCCATCCTCTTTATACCACTTACTAGTTGAATGACATCTGAACCTCAGTTTCTTCATATATAAAATGGGCATAATAGGTCCTTTGTGAAGTCATTCTGAGTGTTCGATAAAATAAGACATTTAAACTCAGGTGGACTTTTGCTTTGGAGAAGATGGAGCAGATATATTATACCTTTCCTTAGTCCTGCTGATAAATGCAGTTAAAACCCCTGGATAGTTACAAGACAAACATAAGAAAATTAGAAAACTCTGAAGAGGTAGAAAGAAGAAGGTAAAGCAGCCAAAACCTCAGGGCCCATAGAAGGATAAATGGGGAGTTCCCTGGTTTTCTTCTTGCCTCATGTGTCCCAGACTTGGAGCTGAAGAAGCTGGCAACCTAGAAGCACCAATGGGCAGAGACAAAAATAACTCACACAAAAGCCTCCTTTTTCCAGTCAAAGAGGAAGCCTAAAAAGACCGAAAGCTTCTAGACAATAGCAACTCTGGCCAAACATCACAGAAAATACTGTGGCCCCACCCTGACAGAAATGCTGAGTAGGTGCCTAGATACCATCCCCATCAGCCAGCAATGAAACACCCTGCCCCTCTGCTGAGATGGCTTCAGAGAAAACCAGGTAGGGAGCTTCAACTTGCATCCTTGCTGAGAGTAACAAAGCCCCACCTGCAGTGAAGGTCAGTGAAGACCATGTAGGGAGCTCCTATTCCAACGCCCCACCCAGCAGTAACAAGGTACTCCTTCCCCTCCCCGTTGGGTAGGTATGAGCAGAGACCTGGTGAGGAGTCAGGACTTTCACAACCACCCAGGAGGTTGTGAGGGAGGTCACATGGGGAGCAATAACAAGTCACTCATACCCCTCTCAGCTGGGTCCTTAGCAGCAGAAGCAAATGGGGAGCCAGAGCTTCCACCCCTGCCCAGCAGTGATGCAGCACCCTTTTCTCACCTGGGTTTCAAGGAGGCCAAGAAGTAGGGAACTAGATTTCTCTCCCCATCTGGCAGAAGAAAGGCAGTCCTCCCACCTCATGCTGACAGGAAAAGCCAACTTAAACAAAAGTTTAAATAATATCCAGAATCTCATAATATAATACTCAAAATGTCCAGGCTTCAAAAGAAAATCACTCACCATTCCAAGAACCAGGGAAGTCTCAACTTGAATGTAAAGAGATGATCAATAGGTGTCCACACTGTGATGCCTGAAGTGTTGGAATTTTCTGACAAAGACTTTAAAGCAGCTATTATAAGAATGTTTCACTGAGCAATTATGAACATAACTGAAACAAATTTTAAAAAGTCTTACCGAAGAAATAGAATATATATGAAAAGAAATTATAAGGACCCATGGGCAAGGACCACAGTGGGGGAAGATCGAATGTGAAACAGCAGGGGCGGGCAGGGCAGGAGAGAGTAATTGGGTCGGGGGGTGGAATGGGGACAACTGTAGTTGAACAACAATAAAAAAAGAAATTAAAGAAACACCAAATGAAAATTTTAGAACTGAATAATATAACAAGAAAAATGAAAAGCTCAATGGGTAAGTTCAACAGCAGAATAAAGGAAGAGATGGATGAGTGAACTTGAATAGAACAACAGAAATTACCCAGTCCAAAGAATAAGAAGAAAATAGACTGAAAAATAAAATGAGCAGAGCTTCAAGCTATCTGTGAGATGATAGCAAAAGTCCTAAATGGGTGTCCTGCAAAGAAAGGAGAAGGAGGATCCTAATGAAAAGGTACCTGCAGAAAAAGTTATTGAAAGCTGTCCAAATCTGGCAACTAGAAATCAATAACCAAAAGATAATGGGAAACTCTCCAAACACTTAGAATCAAACCTATATCTAAATAATCTGTGGGTCAAAAAGTAATCTCAAGGGAAGTCAAAACACCTATTTGAACTTAATTAAAATGAAAATACTACATATGGGACACAGCTTGCACAATGCTGAGAGGGAAGATTGTAGCACTTGATATTTAGAGAAAAGAGGAAAAGCCTCAGATCTAAGATCCTACCTTAAGGACAAAGAAAGAGAAGAGAGAAATGAAATCCAAAGCCAGTAGAAGAAAAGAAATAATAAGATAAGAACAGAAATAAATGATATTGAAAAAAGCAAAATCGGGGGAGGCAGAGATAAATGTATTTAAAAAGTAAATAAATGAAAAAAGAAAAAAGAAAAATAGAGAAAAATCAGTAAAACCAAAAGCTTGTTCTTTGAAAAGATCAATAAAATTATCAAACCTCTAGCAAGACTGATGAAGAAACAAAAGAAGAAGACACAAATTAACAATATTAGGGATGAAACAGATAGGATCACAAACCCTGCAGACATCAAAAGGATAGGGGAATATTATGAACAACGTGACACATATAAATTTGACAACTTAGAAAAATGCAACAATTCTTTAGAAAATACATACTACCACAACTCACTCAATATAAATCAATTGTTGTTTCTGTAATATTAGTAACAATCATCTCACATCCTGGTATAAATGAGGTAAAGAAACTTTTCCAAGGTCACACAGGGAGTTAGTAGGTGGAAAGAGAGTTGAGGGCCTGCAAGACTTGGCCAAGTCATCATACCAGGAGACAGAGGAGTGCTAAGTCCCATCTTGTGATATGTGTCCCTTTTCTCCCAGCTGGGATAAAGCTGTTCAGTGGAGAGAGTTATCTAATTCCGTGTGAAAATTGAGCAAGGGCTACATCCTCTTATTATAATTCCTAGTCCCTTCCTGACCCTCTGGGGTCATTTGCACTTTATATTCCTAACTTGATATCAAGTTTTGATGACAAAACATCATCAAAGAACCTCTACTTTGTTACAAAAAATAAAGTTATGAATATATCACTAACTGCATGTATTATCCTTGTTTATCAGTCTTGTCAAGAAAGGTGTCTCTGAGCCTTGGCTGCCCCATTTCTAAGACAATAAGAAGGAGAAGCAAAGAGACCATGATTTGTTAATTCTTTAAATAAATTGGAGGAAAGAAGGAAGAGATTATCACTTTTTTAACTGGAAAAAATATCTATAATTTTCATGAGGTCACCTGCATCATAGGCAGTATTTTTAAATGCATTAATAGCTAAACAAAGTTTTTTTAAAAGATTTTATGTATTTATTTTCTAGAGAGAGGGGAAGAGATGGAGAAAGTGAGGGAGAGAAACATCGATGTGCAAGAGAAACATCGATCAGCTGCCTCTCACACACATCCCGACTGGGTCCTGGCCCACAACCCAAGCATGTGCCCTGACTAGGAATCGAACCAGCCACCCCTTGGTTCACAGGCCAGTGCTCAATCCACTGAGCCTTACCAGCTAGGGCATAAACAAAGTTTTTAAAGCAAGTAATACCAGAGCATTTTGATTCATAAATCATGAAAGTAATAATATACAATTACCCAAGTTGACATATATATTATTAATCATCCACACAGAATTTTAAGTCCGCGTGTCAACAATTACATGTGGGTAGTCCCTGAGGAAAACATAAGGTTTCCTTTAATAATCAATTTTGTGCTTAGAATAATAATAATTTAGGAATGCAACATGTTGGTCAGTTTTCTAAACGAAAGCTTCAGGACTCTAGTAAAAGAAGAGAAAAAAGAAACAAGGCAGGGATGTCCTACTTATAATGCACGCATATGTATTAACAGTAGGAGAAAACTTTTATAGATAAATTTTAAGCAAGGAAAAATCAAATTAGCAATTTTATCAAAACATCACTTTCTATACAGTGGTGACTTGCTAGCTATGTGCCATTTCTTACATCATCTCCTTTAATCTCCCCATTATCTCTGTAAGATAGGTACCAACTGACCACATTTCACAGATGAGCAAGCTGAGGTTCAAAAGAAGGAAGTAATCTGTCTACAATCCCACAGGCAGTGTCAGGACTGGGCTTTGAACCCAGATTCTTGCCATGACTCATGTTTGTTAGGTTGGCTTCACGTCTTTTAATAAAATCCACAGAACTGTTGAAATAATCAAAAGGTATTCAAGCCCGAGTTGGTGGTCGGTCTCCTCTCACCAGGCTGTACTGAAGAAACCAAACACTTGTGGAAGAAAACACTTCTAAGAATGCTGTGGAGTTCGTTTTGTTGAAGTGGGACTTCAACTTTTTCTGGCCTGTTTTCCTTTCCTTTTCCTTTCAAGTTTGCCTTCTGAGTGCTACCAGTAAATTTCAATGCTTTCTCTTTATCATGGAGAAGGAATGTATTTACCAAAACAGGAAACTTAAAATTGTTTTGAATGTTTTCATTGACTGTATATTCCATCCTGGAAATCCCCACAGAAATTAAAACTGTGATCAGTGACCTGAGAATTTCCCAAACCCCTGAGACAAAGCCTCACACGGATCAATGCTATGAAGGTTAAAAAAACTGAACTCTGCAGTCTTTCACAATTGATTTAATACTGGGTACTGTGAGAAGGTGGTATTATAAGACCCTGCCTCGAAATAATTATTTTTCATATTTATTTTAGCAACTTATGAAGTTGGAATTGAAGAACTCCAAAAGGTATTGTTCCTCTCTTCTTAACAACTTTCTAAGTAAAACAAGGGTGCAGAGTTGATTCTCAAGTAGTGTCTTTGATGAGGGAGAAAAAGTTGTTGTTTATAGTTTTCCTCTGATTTCTGAGGCTTTTCCAGACTCCAACTGAATAGATACTGAAGCCCGTGCCCTGTGATGTCAGAGACAGAAAGTGTGTGATGGAATGGTGGGAAGGTAAGGCCCTAGTTCCTTCCCTACCCCTTGTCTATGGCAGCCAGCACCAACGGGCCTTTGCTAACTCTCTTGAAAGAGAAGAGTTCTTTGGCACAAGACAAATTTGTATATCATGTGCTTTCACAAGAATGACCATAACCTTCAAGGCCCATTTTCTGGGCTCCTGGTGGGCACGGTGCTGGGTGACCCCTTGGAGGCAATGCAGCAATTGATTAGGGCCCAGGCAGAACCACTGGCCTCAATCCCAGCTGCTGCTGTGTAACATTGAACCTCCATTTCCTTACCTATAAACTAGAGTTAACAGAAATACCCACATCTGGGTCATTGTGAGAATGAATCTAAGGTAAATTCACGTAAACAGTTTCATAGGAAGAGCCTGGCATCTGCTCATGCATTTTACCTCCCTAAGCTCCCGTTGTATCTTCTGTAAAATGGTGTACTCTCCGCGAGGGCAGGAAGCCTGTGCCTTGTGGTTCCTATACCAGCAGTAGTAGATGCTCAATACAGAAGGGGACCAACACTGGTTTCACTGAACTGCTAAGAAAACTAAGACAGAGGAGGTAAGCACCTAGTACAGCACCTGACACACAGTAGGCACATACCTAATGCTGTGACTGGGTCAGTTAAGGTTCTATTCTTTTCTCACTGAGTACCTTTAGTTTAGATCCTTTAACTTCCTGCCCCAGTTTTCTTATGCTTGCTGGACAGGATTGCTCATTTGTGGATGCACTTTGTAGCAAGAAAACTATAAATGATTACTATTCCTATTAATGAACATGGAAGCCTTCTGCTAAAGTGCTTCACTTACCTGGCAACATCAGCAAGTAATAAGCTTTTCTTTACAGTGAACTTCCCAAAGGACCAAATTTTATCCTGTGCAAAATGAAAAAGCATGAAAGTATTTTCCATTTTTAATTACATTTTTAGCCTTCAGACAGGTATTGTCTCAGTATTTTTACTCTTGGGGCCGGAAACCGATGCCCCCCTTTCTGGATGACTGGAACACAAGGGGCTGAGTGGACACAGTCCATGCCCTTCCTCATGAGATGCTATTGGGCCCAGTAGGTGCTCAGAACTCGTCGCCTTCACACCAAACCACCACACGTCTGTTCGCTGTATTGTTTTCTGACAATCATCATTCCTTTCTACTCTCAATGTCTTCATGCCTATCAGTGAGTCTCTCGCGTGGTCAGGCATGTAGGTACTTGTTGTGTGCCAGGCACGTGGGCACACATGGTAGCACTGCTTCCACTTTAGAGGTGAGAACTCAAGGTCCAGGGGGGTTCAATAACCTGTAAATAATGTAGCAGAGACCTAAAACAAGGTCTGTCTGACTTGTTCTGCAAGTGCTGCCATCCAGGTTGCTAGAATTACACAGAAAATAAAACCCAGGAGTCCCTGAATGAAGGCTTGCGGGACTCCCCTAAAAGGAGAGCATCAGACCTGTTAGATCTGGATGATGCGGCAGCATTTTGGATGCTGAGATATTCTTTGCTTCCTTCGGGGTTATTGGCTAGCTTCCTAATAGGGAATGGCATCAACTCTGTGATGACTAAATATGTGAGGGCCTATGTTATCATCACTGGGACATAATTTTAAAGGAGTCAAACCTAGATCTCACGGGAACTGATTTTTGATTAGAGAATGCACAGTCAGTACGGGAGAATTCCCAGCATGACCTGCACACTTGCCAATTTGGCCACTGAAATATAGGGGTGGGCAAAAGTACGTTTACAGTTGCACAGTTGTGTACAAAAGAATGTGCAGTTGTGACATTCTTTTGAATTAATAAAGCCATTGTAATCATCATATCCTGCTTGTCTTTCTTCCGTACGAACAGGAGTAAACCTACTTTTGTCCACTCCTGTATTACTCAAATACCACAAATTCATACTCTCATAGGACTTAACAATTTTCTATTCTACAGATGCACTCCTGGGAAGGTATGCAGAAAAGTTTATTTTTCTAAGTGAAATCATAATCCCCTCTGAAACACACCGTAACTTCAGAAATGCTTGGTATCTTTTCAGATTGACCAGCTGCTCCACTCGCAACAGTTCATGGAATTTTCTGTTGCCAGTGTCTACATTTGCTTGAACTGAGATCGCACCCACCTCCCCTTTTAGTCTAGTCTCTGATGATCTGTCACCAAACAGAGACCTGATTGATTAGGGTGACTTAGGAAAATGACCATTTTCCTTTTTACTTTCAGCCTTGGAAGAGTTTTCTCTGCCAAGAACTTAGGTGAGTTTTTATCTTCAAAAGGAAAAGGACTAGCCTAGCCACTGCCCCTCTGACGACTGAGCTGGTGTTCCTGGATGGGCCAGCTCTGACTGCAGTGCCTGACCTGGGTCAGCACCCTGTGCGTGCAAGGTACCTGGTGCAGAGAAGGTGCTCACCCTGCTCTCACTCAGCGAACACTGAGGCCCCAGCATGTGAGAGATTCTTGTGAGCCACTGGGATTATAGCAGTGACAGAGGTCTAGCCACTATCCTTAAGGACTCCCAGATTAGGGGAAGTGTCACACAATCCACCAGGCATGTGACAATCATGGGAATCCCCAAGAACTTAAAATTTGCAAAATGCACCATGCTGTTTCAAGTCCCTGCCTTTGCTCATTTAATTAACTCACCCCAACTTAATGATCTGGCAAACTCCTACTGGCCATCAAATGCCTTCTCCTGTAAGAAGCCTTCCTTGACTCCCCTCCTTCAGAGAGAGGTACCAGTCTCTTCCCTGTGGTACCGCTGTGAGGTATACATGTGTTTGCACTAATGGCACTGTGCATTGTGTGTGTTAACATGCCAGTTCATTCTCACTCCCCTCCCCGCCCTCTTGTCTGTGATCTCCTGTGGGCCGGGCCCATGTTTCCTTGTTCTTGGTACTCCTGGCACCTCTCATGCCTCCTGGCCCAGAGCAGGGTGTTGGCACATAGCAGTGGTCTTACCTGCCTCTTCAGAGTCACTTTCCCCCTGGAGTTATTTTTAATGCGTTAGAATAAACATAGTTGGTGAGCTCTGGAGAAGCAAGTACGAAAATTTCCTGGCTGAGGTCAGAAACACAGGTGCTGGATTGTGGGGAGAACCCTGCTACAGTGGGGTGGGCTCCCTTTGTCCCTCTCCTTGAGTTCCTGCCCGAGCCCCATAATTAACTCTTTAGTACCTAGCACAGTGTGGACGCATGGCAGGCATATGTCAAATAAGTGATTATTCAGTTCAGCATTTGTTGAGCTTATACTCTGCTCAGACACTGCTAGCCTCTGAGGTACAAAAATGAATAGAATATATTTTCCAGCCTTGGTTCAAGATGGGAGTGAAGTCTGGAGTAGTTGGTGGGGGGATTATTTGGAGGAGATAACCACATAAGTAGGAAATTACAATATAATATAATCACTGCTATGGAAGTTGTAACAACGCAGAGGTGGGGCTCCAGGCATCCTTCCTTGAAGAGAGAGAGCTAAGCTGAATCTTCAAAGACACATGGGAACTGGCCCTGTGAAAATGGTGGAATGCAGTTCCCAGGCACAGGAAAAGGGTAAGGCAGCGTATTAACCAGTGAGGCTGGTCCAGGACTCCACAAGTGAACATTAAGTGCCGCAGGAGCAAAGCTGGGGAAGCATGCGGAGCTGGATCCAGGAGGGCCAGAGCTCCCTAACGTATCATTTAGACCAGCCCCATCTAATTGAACTATGTGCAAGCCACATGTCATTTAAATTTGTTCTACTAGCCATATTTTAAAAGGTTAAAAGAAAAGTTGAAATTAATTTTAATAATGTATTTTACTAATATTTATCCTATATGACCAATATATTATTTCAACATGTATTCATTGTAAAAACTGTTACCGAAGTATTTATATCCTTTTTCTTCATAGCAAGTCTTCAAAACCTTGCTGTATTCTACTTTGACACTCACAGCTCAGTTGGGACTAGACACGTTTCAAGCGTTCAATAGCCACATGTAGACCATGGCCATTGTATTGGACAACACAAATTTAGACTTTATCCTATAGGTCAGGGAGAGCTATAAAACAATTTCAAAGCAGAAATAATGTACCCTCCCCCCATAATATTATTCCTGTAAGTCACAATATTAAATTTAATTTGAGAGCTCTTTATGGAGACCCAGCTGTGTAGAAACTACTGGACAAAGTCTGGGGGATAGGAAGATACATTGCAGAGGATATCTACATCCATAAGAAAGGTAAATGCGTTACAGAAAATATCAGCAATTGCAATGGGAACAAAAAAAATTGGGTGAGTCTAACTCAGCAAATGCTTTGATGAAGAAAAGGACACCAACAACTATTAAGGGTCCATTACATGCTATAAACAATGTGAGGCTTTCAACATTTTTATCACATTTCATTCTTATGGCAACCATGGAAATTGGCATTGTGACCATTCATTTATAGATGAGAACATTTGATTTTTAGAAAGGTTAACCTTAGACTTTTAGAAAGACAGGCAGTGGGGATTAGAACCCAGCCCTCACTTCACAGCCCCTGTTCATGACAGAAGAACAGGGAAATGGCCTGAATGGTGGATAAGAGTGCTCAGTAATTAGATTAACGAATGAAACTCCTTCAAACGCTTTCCGCTCTCTTTCAGAACAGCACTCTCTCCTGGTGTTTCTCCTTCCTTCATGCCCACCTCTCTCCATCTGAGGTCTCTTCTATGCTTTCCAGGGAAACATGGTTGTAGAACTATTAAGTTCACATAATGCCAGAAACAGAACTTCTCACCTGGGCGTTGATGCTCTCCGGCATTCTTTCTTTGTCCCTGCTCCTCACTATACTCTCCACCTTGACCCTCTCCTCTGCTCCTGCTGTCTGCACACAGGTACATGGCCATCATTCATGTCACTGGGGAACACTCTCTGCCCGGCGCTGTGCTACTGCTACCACAGGTTCCATAACACCAGTGGGGATACACACACAGAAGAGTGCTGCCTCTTTGCAGCTTGATTTTGAGTTAGTTGGCAGGGTGACGTGGAGATCTGGAGACAGATCCCTAGGTAGTCCATTATAATACAAGATAGAAGGACGAAGTGTTGGGGTAGCAGATAAGAAGGTGCAACTGCTTGGGAGAATCAGAGAAAGAGTCTCAGAGATAAGATGACTTGGACAAATTGAGAAGGGCACTGTGTATTCAGCAATAGAAGATGTGAGAGGCGTGTCTGACAAAGGGAATAGAGATAAAAAAGGAGAGTTGCTCAAAATAGCTCTGAGGAATTACCAGTCTAGACTAGAGCAAAAGTGCAGGGGTGGGGAGCAGGGGGTGATGGCAGTGGAAAGAAAGGTAGGGGCCAGAACACTATGGGACTTACATTTTCTCCTACAGGCAATGGGAGCTATTAGGAGATTTTGAGCAGGAATTCACTCTGGCATTAATTGGAGCAGACAGAAGCTCAGAGAAACTGACTTAATCTTGATAGCCCTTATCTTTAAATTTACATATGAAGAAGAGGGACTCACATTTGTTTGAATTCATTTCCTCACTCATTTCATTTAGGATTGAGTGGTACACTATTATCTAAATACTCTAAACTTCATTTTTTTCCTGGAATCTCTTCTCATTTCAGCCCTAAATATGAAGATGAAGATAGAAAAATGAAGGAAAAAGAACCGTGCAAATTGGAACCTCAAAAAACAGAAAGGGATCTCCGTCCAGACCATCTCTTTGAAGTATGTACATTCTAGGGTTCCAGACCAAACAGTACAGCTCAGCTGTGTCATGGGAGTGGTTCACGGGGTGACTTTTTAGAGGGTGAGACATGCAGCTCTCCAGGAAGGCAGAGTCAGCAGATAAGGACAGAGCATTTTGAAAGCATTTTATCAAAGATACAAATGTGAGAGTTAACACTGAGCTCTAGCCTTGGATTTTCCAGGCCTCTGAAGCAGGGCTGGGACTCGCGTGAGGTCAGCAAGGCACCCAGTGGGCAAATTATAAAGAGACACTCAGGGGCCAACCCTGCACTTGCACGACCCTGGAGGAGGGTTCTGTGCTCTAAAGCCTTGCTTCCAAGAGTGACTTAGTCTCTGAGATTGGTCATCTCATCTGTGAAATGAGGGTAAATAAACTTACTCAATTACCAGCCCCATGACTATCCTCAGTCATGACAATAAAATGAAATAATGTACATGAAAGTGGGTTTTTTTGTTTTTTTCATTTAATTTATTTTCTTTATTTTTTCAAATACATTTGTCTCTGCCCTCCCCCACCACCTTCCCCTGCCCCTCCCCCCTCCCTCCCTCAATCCTTCCCCTTTGGTTTTGTCCATGAGACCTTGCTACATGTTCCCCAACCCTCCCATTCCTTTCCTTTTCCCCTGTCCCCCTCTCCCGCCATCCCTCTTGTCTCTGTTTAAACCATAAGCTACCATAAAAATGAAATGTATTATTGTTGTCAATTAATTAACAGGTTGATTGACTAATAGTTATTAATAGTAAATACTGCATATGTGTGTATGTTAATATTCAATTGACACTATTCCCTCCAAAGCAGTGTGATTGGAGGCTTAAACAATAGATTCCACCAGGACTACTGTCAGTGCTTAAAACATTCTAAGATACCTGTATAATATCTACCTGTATAGATACCTTATAATATCAAATTGTTCCAGTTTCACCTGCAGGGACCGGATAAATCCGACAGCTTGGTGCTGGTGGGAGCCTGCCCTGGTGTGCGGGCCCAGAGGCCAGGTGGACCAGGTTAGGTGTTTACAGAGCATCCCAAAGCAGCATAATTCAGAGGAGTGAGTCACTAATCACAACAGACAGGGACCAGAGCCAGGGAAGCAGCATCGTGTGCCAAAGCCGAGGGCAGAGGGGCAGGGTCATAAATGGGTGATGAGGCCAGAGATCAGGAAGGGGCTTCTCAGGAAGGGAGGAGAGGGGCACGACTAAGAAACATTGACCAAGGAAGAGCAAGAGCAGGATGTGTCCTTTCTCAGTGCTGGCCATATGACAAGAGCCAGGGGTGGGGTTGAGCTGCCACCAAAGGGCCATAGTCCTACTTTCACAGAGTGGATTTGAGTTTTGGATATTGTGAGAAGTTATTTAGAATGTGTTAGACAAATGTGGTGGGTGGTCTAGCCGGGCAGTGGCCTTGGAGATCAAATACAAGCTACAATCAGTAGATACATAGATGAAAGAAGGCGGCCACCATACCTGGGTGAAACAATGACTTCATTTCTTTCTTGTCACTTTTCCCATTGAAAAGACTCATTCTTGGCTATGTGACTAAAAAGAATGCCCCTCCTCTTATTCTCCTCTTAGTTTGCTCAGATCCCATCAAGAGCACTGGAAAGTCCATGCCTTATATCTATTGATTACTTTAGCTTTTTCCAAGTACTTTCAAATGTTTCGTCGTAGTCAACCCTCATGTCCACATGTAGTCAGAAGGACAGTAATCCCCTCTCCTATGTCATTTGATGGGTAGAAAATACTCCAATGGCCAGAAATGTTCTAGTTCTCTTCCGTTTCCAGTGTCTCTTCCTGTCAATCTATCTAGATCTTTCTGGAATAAAAATCTAATCTGGTTCTTTCCCGCCTGGCTCCTTATAACATGAGATAAAGCCCATACTCTGTGTCTTGGATGTAAGGCCCTTCGTACTGAGCCCCATTCTAGCTCATCTTGTTAGTCTCATTTCTAGCCTGGCTTCCCCTGTCCTTCCCCCTGGCCCTTCAAGTCCTCCCTCACCTGTAGCTTCCATACTGCCTGTGTGAGGACACTAACACTTCTTCAGATACTCGTGCCTTTGCACCTGCTGCTTTATCTTCCAGGTGTTTCTTTACCCCTGCACCCAATCCCTTACTTACATTTTAATACATAGTTTAATAAAACCTGCCTTTGAAGTCTTTCTCAAACCTGTCCCTTAGCCAAGAGATCTGACCTCTTCTTACTGTTTCCATCTCAGTTTGCAATGCTGTTGTAAAAAACTCGCCACATTATACCTTAAATATTTGCATGTATTGTCTCTGTGCTTGTAAACAACCACATTCGTTGCATCTATCTCCAGAGCTTAGCATGTTGTCTCACCTTCAGTAAGTGTTTAACAAATGATGGAAAGAACTGAGAAGGCACAGAAGAATGGTGGGTGGAAAGATGAAACATCAGGCAAAAGGAAGAAAACATCCCTTAGTGGTCAAGAGCACAGGGGTTAAAGGTCAAGTCCTGCTTTGGTATGTTATGAGCTGTGCTACCAGAGGCCAGCTGTTTAACCTTTCCAAACTCTTTATCAAGAGGACTAATGAAGATTAAGTATGATCAAATAGCTAAAGAGTCTGCCCTGCAGTTAGTGCTCCATTATGTCCTGATTGCCTGCTGCGGCCTGCCTCTGTGCCCAGCATTTACTGGCCATTTGCAGGTGAGCAAATGACGCAGAATGAGTGCTTCAAAAACTTAGAGCCTAGTAAGACAATGTTAAGTAAAATCATAAATAATTGCTGTCTGTGATGAATGAATAGAAAACAGCATGAATAAACAAAGAAGTAAACAGCTAAGTCAAAGACCTGTAGCCCTCTCCCTGTTGCATGTTTTCAGGTGGGTGCCTATGAAGAGACACCTGGGAAAGTCCCACTGATGAACGTTCACGGACACATGGAGAGCATGCTGGCCGGAAAGCAGGATGCTGTGACTGACAGCACCCAATCAAAGGCCTGCCCCAAGGACCCAAAGCTGGTCAAGCACTTCCAAGGCCAATGTAAGTTCCATTCCTTTCTGGTTCTATGCACCATTACAAAATTATTTTAAAGCTGTGCATTGCCAAGATTTTAATTTTTTTCTGAGTATGTATTGAACATCTGTTATGTACCAAGTAACTTGCCCTAGTGAGGCAGCTGAGCAGTAGTGGAAAGGGCACCAGATTTAGAGGCAAAAGATTTGAGTTTGATCTAGACTCTCATACTAATTAGCCATGTGGTAAGTAACTTCATATCCCTGAAGCTTGATTCCTTTACTTATACAAAGACTAAATTGGAAGGTATGTCACATAGTAAGTACTTAGCAAATGTATTCCTTTTTTAATCTACCAGCTCCTGTTGGGTGTTTTGTGTAGGGCCAGGTAATTGACACCCTGATGATATATAGTATGAGATCATTACTTGACTTTATTTAGGTTACATTTTACCTTCACTTGATTGCAAGTAACAGTGATCATATCATACTGCCTTAAGAAAAAAAAAACCAAGAGCCTCACCTAGCAGAAAGTCTGGGCAGATCCAGGGACACAAACAATATTTTAAGGACTCAGTATTACTTTTTCTACTCCTGGCTTTGCTCCCCTCTGGGTTGGCTCCACTTTTAGACACATTCTACCCTCGTGGAGGCAAGATGGCATCTAGTGATGACAGACTGGACGCTATCCTCTTAGGAATCCCACAGGAAACTAGAAATTGTTATACTCTCAACAGTTATAAGGCCCAGCTCTGAGTCTCCCTGGCTCTGCTTGGGTCACATGTCATCTCTGAACCAGTCATTATAAGTGAGGATATGATGCTCTGGTTGACCCAGCCTGGGTTGTAAACTCACCCCTGGACCTGGGGATAGAGTCAGTTCTAGAAAAATTACATAATACCAGATTGAAAGATTTCCCAAGGAAAATTAAGAGGGCTGTTATCAGAAAAGGAAAAAAAAATAGACTCAGGGTAGCCAAAGAAAACAGATGTCTACTCCAACCCAGTAAGCTGTAGCAAGCTACTGACACTTCATAAAATGTTGTAATCAAGTTATAGGAAGAATAAATGTATAGTGATCATAAGATGGACTCAAGGCCTCTCCGGGCTAGTTGGCCTCATCCCTGCCACACACCCCCTTCCCTGCATACTCTCTGCTCTGTTCTCAGTTTATTGACTATGGCACGTGCTTAAGAGCTCCTATAATTTTGCCTGATCTCTTCCGTCTGTCTGAAATGCCTTTATGCCCATTCTCTACCTGCCGATGTCCTATTAGTCCTTTCAGGTCTATTTCAAAAGTCACTTCTGAGGCCTCGCTAACCTCCTTCAATCCTCCTCTTTCCCACTTTCCAGGGAGTAAGTCCTCCTACTCCTGTTTCCGTGACACTAAACAAGTGGATGAACATGCTTCTCTATTAGGCTTTAGAGTGGAGCAGTTCGGGGACTCAGGAGCATTTTATACTAATCCTGTAACCTTGGAAGTTTTACTTACTTTCATGTGCAAATGAGGATACTACTTATTTCCCAGTACTGTTTGTCACTGCATATAAAGTGTCTGGTTCATATGCTAAGTAACTGTTAGTTCTCTTAATTTGTTTTTATTTTTGAATAATTACAGCAGGCCTTGCATTATAATTTATCATGCACATGTTTGTCTCCCATGGCATCCGGTGAGCATCTTGAGATCAGAGACCAGTTGGTATTTTTCTCTGTATCTCTGTAACCTGGCACAGTGACTGGCATGCTTGAGCTGCCTAACAAAACTTTGGTGGGTGAAAGAGTGAAAGAATAAATCAGACTTTAGTTTCTGACAATATAGTAGATTAAACAATCTGACTGTCCTGACAGAAACAAGAATAAAAGTTTTTAAAATTTATAGAAGCAGCATAGAACGGATATAAAAAGAAAGCATTTACATACCTGCAGTAACCAGGAATCCTGGGAAGAAGCAAGTGCGGAAGTTAGTTTTGCCCTGAGGGTTTTTACTGGACTCCAAATCCCCTGAGCTCCCACTGGACTGCAGGGCATGCAGAGTGCAGAGGCTCCGACTCAGGACCCGCCCAGAGGGAGTTTATAATGGGAGACTCCTGCATAAAGTTGGGACCCCAAAGGTTACATCCACGCTTCAAGAATAAACAAGACTGTGCCTATAGTTAACATTAGTATGTTGTGTACTTATAAATCTAAGATGGTAGCTCTCATGTGTTCTTACTACAATAAAAGGAGTTTTAATTAAAAAAGGACTTGGGGCAGGGGAGACATTTCTGATTAGGTGAATGAGAAAGCACAGAGGTAGCATTAATTTTGAAATCATGACTTAAGATGAGAAATGGATAGAATTATTTAGAGCATAAGGGGAAAAAGTAGAGGAGAGAAAAATAAGTTGAAGTGAATAAAATAGTTAAAGGAGAGCCCTGAAGATAGGGCTGAAAGCCCTTTTCATATAATTACGTAATGTCCCTGGAGGGTCACCATAGATTTGGGGGTTATGCTATTTTGTGAACAATCTGAAGAAGATTATTCTTAGTAGTACATACAAAGCACAAAGGGAATTGCTGAACCCATCAGTAAGTTTTTACAATACTTATGATGGATAGCATAAAATGCTTAGTTGAAGAGAGTATGTATGAAACAGGAAAGTTTGAGGAAAAAAATCTGAGTGTTTTTTTTTTTTTAATTCTATTCAAGTAGGCCTCTCTTGAAAAAAATAAACAAAATAAAAGCATTGCTTAAAAAGAAGAATTAGGAACATAAACGCTGCTGAGAAGAAGCAAATTTGCCCATTTTTACCCTTATGATAAGTTGGTTATCATAATCCTCCTGTGTATCTGCAATTCAAATTCACTCTGTCGCTGTGGTCCAAAAAGAAACCCAGTTAAATCTAAAGTGGTATCAGCTTGGTAACTCTCCCAGACAACTGCTAAAAGTGAACATAAATCTTCTTTGATGAAATTCTGCCTTTACCCCATGTATTAAATAATGCCCACAAAGTGATTTTTTTTTTCATTAACAGTTCATAGGAAAAAAGAAAACCTAAACACAGAAGGAGAGAAGTGACAGTAAGTGAAAACCAGTAGAACAACAGACAACAGAACCCAATCTGCAAGATATTAGATATCATAAGACACAAAACATAACTATACTTAATATTTTTAAAATAAAAAGAAACAGATTTGAAAAAGATTAAAAATAATTGATAAACTAGTATACAAATGCAATGAATGAATTACATATCAGATCAGACACAGTTGAAGAGGGAATCAGTGAACTGGTAGGTAATAATAGGGAAATTATCAGAAATTCATTCCACAGGAGAAATGATTGAAAAATAACGAAAGAGGGGATAAGAGTTGTGGAGGACACAATGAGTCTTTTTTTAATCCTCACCTGAGGTCATGTTTATTGATTTTAAAGAGAGGGGAAGGAAGTGAGAGAAACATTGATTGGTTTCCTCTTGCATATGCTCCATCTGGGGACTGAACCTGCAACCCAGGCACGTGCCCTGGTGGGAAATCAAGCCCATAACCTTTCGGTGTATGGAGTGATGCTCTAACCAGCTAAGCCACATCAGCCAGGGCAAATGAGAGTCTTTTTAAAAAATATATATATATATTTTTTTCTGTTACCATTTAGTCCCCTCATATCTCCCTCCCCGCAGCAATCACCACCCTGTTTTCCATGTCCATCATCAAATCAGAGTTCTATAAAAGGACACTAGAAAGTATGGGGAAGAAGAAATAATGGATAAAATAGGCAATATCTGATCATTTTCAGAATTGTTGAAAGATATCAATATGCTGATCCGTGAACACTGAAGTTCTCAAGCAGGAAAAATAAATTCACTAGTCACATCTTAGAGAAACTGAAAAGCACTGAAGAATAAGAGGATATCTCAAAATACCTTAAAAGCAGACAAAGGGAAAAGACCAATTGCCTATAAAGAAACAAAAAGGTGATTGTTAAGTTCTCAAAATCAAGAGTGTCTAAGTAGAATACAATGCTGCTGGAAGATTTTTTTTTTGATAGCTTTCTTTAAGCTTATTATGTGACCAGCATGGTTCTACAATATTTACTTTGTAATAACTTACTTACAACCCTGAGACAGTACAGGCTATCACCACCCCTTGTTGCAGATGAGAACCCTGAGGCCTAAAAGGCTAAGCTCTCCTATCCATGGGTCCCATCCCCACGAAGCTGCGAGCCAACCCTCAGGCCTAGGCCGTGTGCCTGCTGAGCCCGTGCTCTTAGCTGTCATGCTCAGGGACAGTGGAAAAGGCTAAGATTTGCCTCACCCCATTTCTTGATTGAGCTCCAAGATTTTGAGAAGAAAAAGACGACTAAAAGTAGGGCCTATGAAACACTCAAAACTAGTGAACTAGTAAGAAGAGGAGGAAGAGCAAACATAACAATTAAGTCTTGCTGAAAGATCTTAAATGTCTACCCAGAATTATATAAACAGTGAAAATGCCTGTCAAGAATAAAGGAAAAAAATAAAATATTTGCGACAAAAATTGAAATATTTTAATGGCCAGATAAAACTTTCTAAATGAAATTCTAAAGCATGTACTCAGGCAGAAGGAAAATAATCCCACAGAGAGAATTCTGGATGCAAGAAAGTAAGCTGAACAAAAACATACCAACCAAATAAAACAGTATTAGTGTCAAATTAGGGGAAAGGGGACTAAAATATTGACACTAATAGCACATACATTGGGAAAGTGATCAAAGTTGAAGCCTTCTAAGGTTTTCAATTGACAGTAACAATATTAATTCACTGTAGTCTTGAAAGAGTTAGAATAGCTAGAATATATTCATCAAAAATACCAATCAAAGAATGAAAGTCATGTTCAGAGTAAAAGGTATTTGATTTAGGACAGAGGACTAAATCAAAGGACTCATATATGAAATATATATATATGAGTTCTATAAACACCCTTATATCCAGAAAATATGAAATGGAAATATTTTATATTTCTATAAACATCCTATATTTAGAACATATAAAATAGAAATTATTCAGAAAAAAGTAAATTTAGAGAAATTGGGAAAATAGTTGAATGGACACTTCACCAAAGAGGTTATCCAAAAGGCAAACATGCTATATAAAACCGCACAAGTCTCAGGGAAATGCAAATGAAACCCACAGCGCAGTAACACCGCATGGCTACCGAAATGGCTAAAATAAAATTAAAAAAAGGCTACATGTATCAAGTGTTAGTAAAGTTGTGGAATAACTTGAACTCTTCTACACTGCTGGGATCGTCCACTGGGATAATCACGAGGGAAAACTATTGAGCAGCGTCTATTAAAGCCCAACATGTGCATATACTATGATTTAGGAATTCCATGCCTATTCTCATACCCGATAGAAGTGCATACTTCAGTCTACCAAGACATATACGGCTTGTTTATGGAAGAAATTTTTTATAATAGCAAACTGGAAACTGTCCCAATATCCATCAAAATTAGAATGGGGAAATAAATTATAGTATATTCACACATTAATTATAAGAATGACAAAATTACAACTATACCCAACAATATGGAATTCTGCAAACATAATATTGAATGAAAGGCAACACCAAAGAGGACATTCTAAATGATTCCACTAACATGTTAAATATGCAGCATTCACCTCTGGTATTAGAAACTAAGGAGTGGTTCCTTTGTGGGAGAGAACAGTGACTAGAAGGGAGCAAAAGCGGGTGCTCTGGGACACCAGCATTGTCATGTTTTTTTTAATCTCTGTGCTGAGTCCATGAATATATTCAGCTTGGGAAAGTTTGTTGAGCTTATGATTTGTGCCCTTTCCTGTATATTATATTTTAATTAAATTTTAAAACATAGTAGGATAACTATTAAAAGATAGGCATAGCATACATACCTTCCAAACAAACAAACAAACAAAAAAGAACAGAACAGAACGAGATGAGGCGAAATTTCTGTGAATCAAGAAAGAGGAAGATGAAGGAGAAAAACAGAACAAATAAAAGTTATGTAATGAGATAGTAGGTATAAACTGTAAAGTATCAGAAACATTATAAATATAATACATAAAACTCTCTTGTTAAAAGATATATGTGTCCAAGTCATTCAATATTAAAAACAGTATTTGAGTACCTTTTACATGCCAGCACTGTTCTAGGTGCTGGGGGTAGAACAGTGCACGAGACAGACAAAAATTCCTGTCTTCATGGAAGTTACATTCTGATCAGAAGAGACAGATAATAAATGTATGAAGAGTAAAATCACCACTGTGGAATGGTAGTAATGTGATGGGGAAGAAAATAAAACAAGGCAAGAGGATTAGGGAGGCTGGTGAAGGTATTAGAAGTTGCAGTTTTAAAGTGCTGGTGGATGGCCTCAAAGACCTTAAGTAGATGAGGAAGTGAGCCATCTGTGTATCTAGGGTAACAGTGTTCTGGCAAGAAGGGAAAAGAAGCAAAGTGCCCTGAGGCAGAAACCTACCTGCTGTGTTGGTGGAATAGCAAGGAAGCCAGTGTGAGGAAAGCAGGGCAACTGAGGGAGAGACGACAAGGGGCGGACAGTGTAGGGGCATTTTTAGACCATTGCAAGAACTTTGGCATTTACTCTAAGTGAGATTTGAAAATCCAATGAAAGTTTTTGAGCACAAGAATGGGACAATCTTACTTGTATTTTAAAGAATCATAATGGCTGCTGTTTTAAAAATAGAATGTAGGATAAATCAGGGCACCTGTTAGGGGTTTGGTGCAATAATTTAGTGGAGAGATGATGGTAGCTTGGAGGAGGGTGCCATAGGGGGGTTGGTGAGGTGTGTTTGGATTCAGGATATAACGTAAAAGTAGAGCTGTGGATTGGTGGAAGGATAGGAGAGAGAAAGGAGGCAAGGATGTTTTGGACCTGAGCAACGGAAAGGATGGAATTGCCACTTTTTATTGAGTTGGGGCAGATTTCAGGCAGAGTAAATTTGCAGAGAGAAATCATGAGTTTGGTTTGGAACACAATGTGTTTAGACAAGCAAGTGGAAATGGTGCAAAAGCTGATGGAGTAGCCAGACTTCATCAGAGATGTTTAAGTGAGAGCTGTCAATTTGGGAGTTGTCTGTGTTTTTAAAATGAAATCATAAACTTTTACATTTGTCTTTGCCAAAAGGAAGGATTAAGAAAGAAAAACAAAATTGTCCCATACTAAGAATTAAGCGACTTTGTGTTCAGCATTTTTGTTTTGTGTTGGAGAAATTTACTGATAACTCCTTAAGAAAAAGCAGGACCTCACGCCTCTGGGAGCTGACCTACACTCAGTTTAGGGCTTAAATGCTAACTGACTTCATGTTAGAAGGAAAAATCCTGTTCCTTTGTTCATTTAATTAATAGACACAACTCAGTTTGCTTATTGTTTATTTTGCAGTTATATTACTACTTATTCCTGATTAACAGTTCGTGTCTTAAAATGGTTATGATACACCTATAATCTTACTATTTATTATGCCAACAGATAAAAAGGTGACAGTTTTATGGTTATGACAAAATTACAGCTCTGTGAAATAAACCAGTACCTGCATTTCACAGCCTAGCTACTTGTGCAAACAACCCCAAAACATTTTCCAACCGGCAAACCATCACCTGGCAGATTCGAATATTAATGAATATTAAATGTTGACATGTATTCAATCAACCTGTCCAATAAATTTTACTTAAGGAAAAAAAAAAGGACAGCAATGGGTAAGGTCATCTAGGTAGAGAGAGAAGTCCCAGGGCTGTGCCCTAGAGGACTTCAGCATTTGAGGTCAGGGTTGGAGGAAAAACCACTAAAGAGGGAGGAGTTGTTGGCTCACTAGGTAACCAGCCCCTTTCACAAAAATGCATAAATTCTTGCCACAAGAATCTTGTAAGAGTAGGTGTTATGCATCATTATCCCAGCTTCTGAGAATCAAAACTGAGCCTCTGCAAAAGGATGTGGTTTGCCAAAGGATCATACAAACCAAGATTATGAACCAGTTTCAGCTAAGTAACCTGCCTTTTCCTATTCTTGCCTCTGTTGCCATGGTGTGTGTGAATACATTCGTGATAGTGCTTTACCTTCAGAGGGTTTCTTTGCTTTCCTTACAGGTGGGTATGTGGAGGCCTTGGAGGTGACTAAAGGAACACCAGGCCAAAGGGCCTTTAAGCCCAGTTCCATCTCAGAAGAAACCTATGATGATGTTGAGTACCCTGGGAGAAAGAAGTAAGTTCATTCCAACCCCTTAGCAGTGGGGTGAGACTTTAAAGGTACAGTGGGACTGATTAATGGTCTTCGTTTCTTTTCTCCCCGCAGATCAAAGTCAGACTTCTTGAACTCATTTGCATCAGATAGTGGTAAGTACAGGAAGACATTTCTGAAACGGCCAGTAGGTACTGCAGCTGTGGCTGATTAATGATAAATTGTCATTTATTTATACATATTTTTAATGATACCAATGGGGTGGGGTGATGGTATGCTAAGGGAAGCAGTCTGAGGTATGTGTTAGTAAATGCATTTAGAATTGTGATGGTGGAAATGCTGATAATGGGACTCTTGGGGCGAAAAAGCAGCTTTGCTGTGAAATTGCTTCCTTCCTGATCTACGCACAATGGAAGTCTGATTACAGGAATGGTTTTACTTAAAACACTTACATGGCTTCCCAGTACTTTTACCACTGACCTCGCACGGTCTGAAGGCCCTGAGAGGTCCGCCTCTGTCTGCCTCTGCAGCCTGTCCTCTCACGCTGTACTCCATCTTCACCTTTGAGAGGGAGCCGACTTTTCAGCTCCTCCAACTTGCCAGGTGCCCACCAAGCTCCCACTGCAGGGTGTTTGCATATGGTGCTCCCTCTTTCTGGTATTTTCTTTTATTCCCTGTACCCCTTTGCCTAAGTGACTTTTAACCTTTCTTCTGATCTCAGCTCAATCATTATTCCAGGGAATGTACAGTCTCAGAGTAATAGTGCTCTCTTTTTCATAGCACTTGTCAGTAGCAATTTTATATTTATGTGATTCTTTGATTAATGTCTTCCCTCTTAGATGGTTCTCTTCTTTATGCTTACCATTTTCCTTAGCCCCTTGCATAATGTAAGGTACATGTAATATATTTTTAAAATGTGTTAAATGAACGAATGAATGAAAAAAATAATGGAGGAGGGATAATCAAATGCTACTTTCTTTACTTTTGTTCTTAAAAATGTCCGAATTTTAGGTAGAGAAACCATCTTAGAGATCATTAAACACGGTATTCTCATTTTAAAATGGAAACTGAGGCACAGAAAAGTTAAGCGACTCTCCTAAATTCACTGTGTGTAAGTCAAGTTCTGGACATGAAAACCCTCTTGGTGAGGGGTGACTCAAAATGTATCTGTGTGCATTAAGCTCATGCATCGAGTTATGCTAAAGCCAGACTATGAAGGGAAAGATTATTCAAGATGTATTTGTTCTCCATTATTTCCCCAGAAGTCAACACAATGTCTGATGTTTAGTAGACTCTGATTGCTATATATTAAACATGCAAAAGGAGAGGGTGGAAGGATGTAATCTGCTGATAAATCAACTTTCATTGACTAAATCACACTTGGACCCAGGGGCAGAAGCAAATATTAATTTTCATTTGCATATACTACTTTTATAGAGGTTTAATTATTTTTACCATGTGCTTATAGTAAAAATATGTACATTTCAACAAAAACTATTTAACAGAAGCAAGGTCAAAATACACTCGCACCTAGCAGATATCCAATAACTTTTTGTTAAACATGAATCAGAACTACTGTCAATATAATGAATAATTTTTTTTTAATTTCAGAAGAAAATAATAAAGAAATGTATGAAGATGTATACAAAACAAAGAGCAACTCCACCAAAACAGAGTGAGTTTCTCTTTCTTGGCTTCCTGGCTACGATATTTCCTGTCAGTCTAGGAAAATTGGTTTAAGACTCCCTTCCCTACCCCCACCTTCTTTAGGGAGGGTTTGCATAGAGAATGCAGGTAAGCTATTGTAATACTACATTGTGGTCAATAGAATACTTGTGATTGTGTACAATCACATGGCATAAATTTCAAATTACCTTGCTTTTTCTTTTGAGAAAATGTCCATCTCTCAGAGTAAAGAACTCAAATATTGCATTAGAAAATAAGTGAGAAAGAAGTAAATGTCAATAAAACTTGCTTCAATTCTATAGTACTTTTCCAGGGAGAAATTAATGGTTGTCAAGAATAATATTTATTCGAGTGAGCATTATTTGTCTAGTTTAGTGATTCAGGCATGTTGTGGAAAGGAAAACAGCAATGGTCAAAAGCTAGTTTAAGCGTTGAAAGAAAAAGAAGGGATCAATGCTGGGTGGGATGATGTGGATGTATCATTCCCTCTCCCTGTCCCTGCCCCAAACCCAAGATTATATTTGGAAAAATCTTATTCATCAACTGGGCAGTCAGTGCACCGCCACTGTTGCATTATATCATTCAGAAAATTAAAAATCAGTGACATGAATTTTAGGAGCCAGGAATTCCTGTAATTTATTTCTAGTATCATTTGTAAACTCTGCTTCTGTGAGTCATGTTCTCTAAAAGAAAGGCGTGGGCTCCATAAACTGCAAAATAAAGACCATTTATTATAAATGAAGGCTTGTACTGATTTATAAGAACACCTTTCATGGCTGACTGGTTTGTGCTACTTCATGTTGGCACCAAAACAAAGAACAGAGAAATGTTGATAAGGTATTTTCCTGCTCTTCCCCCAGTGGAGTGTTTTAGAAATGAAACCAAAGCCTCTGATCCTTTTGACTACACCAGCCTTCCATTTCTAGCACTCTCTCAAATGCTGTGTTTATATCCTCTGATTCCTCTTAGTTTAGATGGAAAAGCACTTAAGAGACTGCAGAGATTCTTCAAGAAAGAAAAGGATAAATTTAAGATGAAGAAGACCAAGTTGAAAGAAAATGTAAGGTAAAAAGTCCCTTTTTATTTGTCTTTCCAGGAGAGGATTAGCGTTGCTGGCCTGGTAGTTACACAGTTTGATGGTCTCCATCCTGTTCTCAGACACAGTGAAGGAATATCAGAAAGGAAAGCCAAAGGCCCTGGCTATCACCTACCTCCTTCTTGCCAATCTTTGAGTGAGCCACACCCACAAATGCTAATGACAAAAATGACAAAGTCCCTTTTGAAAAGATTGATGAGAAAAGGTTGTAAACTAGGGTAGAGGGAAAGTCTTCAGCAAAGTCCAGAAAGGAAACTGACATTATCATCCTTGGCATATATTCCTGTTATCACTAACCATTATGTTATTAATTACACCCTTTTATGCTTTCTTATTCCAACAAGCTCCAGTGATTTTAATTTGTCTATACTTTGTATTCTAATTTGCCTCACTTGAGAAAGGCAATGTGTGGAGAGGGAAAATGAACTTTTCAGCTGAATGGTCCGTGTAACTCAAAGTCTTAGACCTGGAAAGGACCCTCCAAGATCAGCTCAGCTAATTACCAATGTTTGGGAGGTTATATTTCCACTGGTAATAACAAGAGATGGAGGCCTAAAGTCTGGATTGTGGTTTCAGCTTTTATATTTATTCAGTATGTAACTGTGGGCAATTCACTTCTCTTTTGCACCCATATGGCCTGTTTCCTGTTGCATACAGTGAAAGGAGCCTGGGTAGTCTTTGGAGGCACTTCTCTCCCTAATCTGTAGATACAGGTATAGAGATAGACATACAGATCTGTAGTCTATGAGGGCAGGAGATGGTAAAATAATTTACCCAAGATCATTACATATACTGACATGGAATTATGTTATTCTACCTTGAAGTTCTTTTCAATTTTAAAACTTCAAAGTTATGCAGCTTTAAGTCTAATTGTCTGTTGGATATAGATTGACCAACAGATTCAACAGACTATAGGGTTTATAAATTGTAGTCCTGGCCATGGAACAAGAGGACGTGTAGCTCCAGTGGTCAGTGAGACCTCACAGCAGATCCAGCCTGGCCTTAGCTGGTTAGATGCTATTGACAAAAATTATTAACATGACACCTACAGTCCCTTATAAACTGGATACAGATGAGAATGCTCACTGACTTCTGCATCCTGCATATCACAATGCTGAGAGCATCCATCTTGGTCTCATAGAATCTCCAGCAGGAGGCGCTGTGCATCAGCCATATCCCAGGCACATTCCCTTAGGTATGCTCATCTGAGATGAAAGTGACTCGCTAAGGTGATGGGATTCATTTTAGAAATGAAGAAACTGAGGTTTACATAAAAGTTAGTTGATTTACCCAAAAGTCCTGTTTCTTTGGACATTATTATGCTTTTTCTTCCCCCACAAAGTGTTATATTTATTTAATTTGGTCTCCTTCACTAAATCCCAGGACAGAAACTATGTCTAATCATGTAATATACCGAGCTCAGGGGCCTGGCCCATGATAGGCGTCCCCAAAATACCTATAGGACTGAACTTAATTGCTTTAAAATACATGGGAATTTTTTTCTACTACAACATATTTCCTACCATGTGATCTTAACTGTGAGATTTAAGGAGAACCAAACAATCTACGTGAGCCAAATGTCCTCTCCCCTTAGCAAATGACTATCTTCTAGTTGTACCTGGCCTGGAATTCTCCCCTCATCCCTTTGGCTTCTGCATATAGATAGGCAGAGTCCAATGTCTCCAGAGGGTTGTTCACTCTTACCATACTTATACTGCATTGTGTGTGTCTGATTGACATCTTGGAAGGTTAGAGCGCAGAAATAGAATCCTGTGGATGGAGAAGGGCAGGGCTGTGGGGTAGCCTGAGGTTGTCTGGTTAGAAAAGGGTGTATAAGTGGTCACTTGGGAGAAATAAGCTCATTTAAAGGGGGGAGGCAGAACAAAGATGCAGGAAAGTTATGCTTCACATCTTTGACTAGAAGCAACTGTATCAAGAAACCTAGTCATCAATCTGTTATTCTGAACATGGGTTATTTCTTTCCTAAGCCTTTTGTGTCTTTTGTCAATCAACAGTGCATTTTCCATTTCGCTGCCTGATTTAGGTAAGTGACATTTGCTTATTGCTGGCGCAAAAACTACATTGGCGTATTCAGGGGCAGGGAAGGAGAAAAAATCATTCTTCCTGCATTCCACATGTAATAGAAAATTAACACATCAAAATCAAAGAACAAATTTTACACAAGAGTAGTAGTGATTTTGGGGAAGATGAGTAACATTTCTTAAGTGCCTACAATATACCAGGCTTCTTAAACTCCCAGAAAAAAAAAAGATATTATCATCTCTTTCAGTGAGGCTCCAGGACCCACATCCCTACTTCAGTGATCTGGGATTTGTACTCAGGTCTCTCTGATTACAAAGCTCATGCATTTGAATTGTACCACACAACCTCTTGAAGGATTTGCTAGCCATATCTCCCTAATTAAGATGTAAGAAGTTGAGCATGATTACATTGTAGTACACATACTAAATGAATCAAGGATGGGTCATTGCAGTATTGTTTGCTTTGCTAATAAAAACAGTAGTGTACAAATTAGCACAGTGCCTGACACATAGTATGCTCTCAACACGTGTTCAGTAAATTGAATCTGTCAATAAAAGGGGGTCATATCTTCTGTTGTTTGGTTTTGTCTAGCCATGGTGGCTACTTCAATTTCACTCTGACTCGGCAATTCAAACACATAATACATTCCACAAATATGAGTTTGCTGAATTAAATAATAAATGAAGGTTATATAAACCTCATAAAACTGCAGGTCTCCCCAAATATCTTTGGTCTATGCTGTAAAAGTAAAGCCAACTTAGAATAGGCATGCATTGTACCACCTTCAAATTTATGAATTGAATATGAATTATGAATAATTAGACCAGAAGGTCTTAAACTCATTCAGGTGATGAATCACTTGAGCATTATGAATTTCTATGTAGAACACCAAGGAATGTGAATATCCTAAAATGAACATGTTTAATTATGATTATGTACTAAGTCAGGCTCAATTTTATGCAAAATTATTATAAAGGAGCAGTTGCCAATAATTTGAAATAAAAATCATTGAAAAAATAAACATCAGTATTCTATTAAAGTGTTTTTTTCTCCTAGGAATTAAGAAAAAGCTCCTTATTATTCTAGCAGTATAACATCTTTGTCCAGGTCTAGGACAACAGAAACCTAGTTAAAACTGATCCTTTCAGCAACTCAAATTTCTGGAAATCAAATTGCTATAAACATATGTGTGTTTGTGTGAGTATGTTTGGGATATTTGGACATTCCACAGTTGAATTTCCTCCCAAATGAGAACCTTTTCCTTCTTTGATCCTTTCAGCCTATCTTTATCCTATGATCAGATTTTGATAAAATAGGCTTCAGGATGCACCTGGACAATTAGGTAATTGTGTGCAATTTGAGGAGCCAGGGATTATATAAACCACCTCATAATGGACTATTTTGATCCCATCTTGACTCTAGAACTTAGGTCTCAGGAAGTTATTATCCACGATGATGTGAACATAAATGAGAAAGTGTCAAAGTAAGTAATTTACCTTTTTTTTCCATCCCTTTTAAAACTCATTTCCTTGTGTTTTGTCAAATGTGGTCAGAGGGCCACCTTCAGATGCTTGGATACTGAGTGAGATGTCAACTTGTTATATTCCCACCATGAAGAAGGGGAAACAATAAATAACATAGATGATCTAACAGTGGTAGGTGATTCAAAAGTCACTGGACCTCTAGAATCTGTTTCTTATATTTGAATCTTGAGACTTGAAACTTATTATTTCATTACAACAAACACTTATTTAATAATCTCCTATGGACAAGGCAACATGGAAGACAGCAAACACTTCCTGACAAAACCTCTGTTCTGAAAGACTAAATAGCTATAATCTATCAAGTAGAAAAACACCCCAAAACTCAATTCCTCCTCTCTAGCTACTTATCTGTCTTTTCCCTCTCCATTTAATGGCTGAAAATAAAGGCCTGCTCATCTTCCCAAGCTCTCTGAATTTGAACTTCTGTTCTATCATTCCAGTGAACTCATTTTTCGTAAGGTCACTAATAACTTCTCTTTAAGTCCAGTACTTGCCTCTAAGTCCTTAGCTTTCTTGGCTTCACTATAGAGCTTAAACTGTTGACTATGCCATCCTTTAAAAAAAATACTGACTTTTCCCCAAGTTTCCATATTATCATCATTGCTTTTTCCTCACCTCTAGTTGTCACTCCTTCTGTTTTTTGTTTTGTGTATATATTGTGAGAGTTCTAATTCTACCATGCAACTCTTTCAAAATTATGTTCCTCAGCTTTCCTATTTCAGTTCTCTGCTATTCTTCTATTATGTTTTCTTGAATGCCCTCATCCATGTCTAAGGCTTTAATACTTATCATTATGGCAATGATATAAAAATTTACATTTTGAGGTTGGATTTCTCTTCTCCACCCTAATTAGCCTGCCAACTAACTCTATTTGAAACTCAGAATTCCATAGTAACTCATAACCTTAACCCTCATTATCCAAATATGGCCTCTTTCTTCTAATTTCTAGGTTGGTGACTGTTTCAATTAAACACACTGTTGTCCAAACCAAAACCCTATGCACTGTCCTTGGCGCCGCCTCTCCTGCCCTGCACCTTCTGCTGTTCAAATAATTCTCAGGACACTCCCACTTCTCCATCCCCACTGCACAGCCACAAGGCAGGCCCTCATTGTTTCTCAGCAGGATTATTGCAACAACTTTCTGAAAGCATCTCACCTCCACTTCAGTTTATTCCTCAGACTTTCTGAAGTGCAAATGTGATCATGTCACAAAACTAATCATCCATCCATTGAAAAATGTTTAGTGGTTGCCAGTCTCACTCAGAATGAAATCCAAACTATTTAGGAAGATATAAAATTCATTGATGACTCAGTCCCTGACAAACTTTCAGCCCCACCTGTATTTCCCACTCACCCACCATGTCAGTGTTTCAACCCTACTATACTACTTGGAGTTCCTTAAACTCAATGAGCTATCCAGAATTTTTAAAGCTTCACATTTGTTTCAACTTCATCAATTCATTCAACAAATATTTAATGAACATGCACTATGTTCCAGGTACTGTGCTAGGTGTTGGCTATAAAGCAGTGAAAACAGATATAATTACTATTCCTGTCTGATTGGAGAAAAATAAATAAAAAATAAATCTATAATTTCACACTGGAATTTGATTGTTTGGATATTGTGAAAGAGAGTGTACATAAGGTGTTTGTGTCTGGAGAAGACCAATAGTCATTTTAGAGGAGATAGTCGAGACCTCTGAGAGGTGAGAATTTAAGAAAAGACGACTGGGTCTGCCTGTAACACTTTGCCGTGGTTTTTGCCCAGTTAGCTATTTTATCCCTCATTATGTACAACTGAATTCAGATTTTGCTTTTCCCAGGAAGCCCTCTCTGACCTTATATATATTTGGGTTAGATACCCCTTTTTTATCAGGACATTTTTCTCATGATCATTGTGGTCTTCTTTCTTTTCTCTTCCTCTAAATGGAAACTCCCTGAGGTAGGGATGGTGGCTTTCAATCTGTACCATATGACTTTATACCAAAACATGGTTTGTTAATTCAGTTAACCAGGAACCTGCTTAAAAAATTTTTTTGAGCAAAATAATCCAGAAATTCAGACTAGGTAGCCATTTCCATTGTTTAAGGGGTCAGGAAAATTTTTGTGCCAAGTTGAAACAGAAAAGTTAGGTAACATTTTGACAAATGGTGGAGAACTGTGTAAACAGAAACAGGTGTTTGGGAAAGTTTGTTGCTTCTGATAAACAGAAATTCTTAATTTTAATGTATCTGAATTTATCAATTTATTCTTTTTGATTGTTGCTTTATCTTTTAAAGGATTCTTTATCCCAAGATCACATAATGGCCTCCCATATTTTCTCCTAAACCTGTTAGTTTTGTCTTTTACACTTATAGGTCTGTAATGGATTTTCCTATGTATAGGGAAGTAGAGACCTAATTAAATTTTCTCCCATGTGAATAAATATCCTAGCATGACTGAGTGGTCCCTATTTCCCCCACTGATCTACAGTGCCACCTTTGTCATACCAGTTTCCAGTATATGAAGATCTATTTCCAGGCTCTTTATTCCATTTCAGTGTCATTTCTAGCTTAAGTGCACCGTGGTCTGAGAAAATAGTTGCTATTTGTATCTTAACATGTTCTGAGACATTTATGCCTCTTGTATAGTCAATTTTTATAAGTGTTCTATGTGCACTTTAGAAATATAACTTCTCTTTGTCTAAATTTTTGATACAAAGATCAATTTATGGCCTTTAAATCAAGCATGTGTTAATTCTATTAAAATCATAGATTTGACTTTGTAGATACTTGATCCATCAACATTTGAAAGAAGTTGAAATCTCACACAAACACGATAGATTTGTCAGTTTCTTCCAAAAGTTCTATCATTTGTTACTTTATATATTCTATTGGTTATATAAAAAATTTAAAATATATTCTAGTGAACTGAATGTTTATTATGTTGTATCTGCCTCTATCCCTAATACACCCTTTTGTTAATACAATTAACAAAAGTAGTTCTATAGCTCTTACAGTGGGTCAGTCACTGTTTCATATATTTAATATGTATTAACTCATTCAATATCATATCAATCCTGTGAGGTAAAGACTGTTATTATACAGATTTTATAGAAGAGAGAGTGAGGCACAGAAGTTGTTACTTGCCCAAGCTCACACAGCTAGTGTTAGACCAAGGATTCAAACCCAAGCATTGGTGGCTCAGTTCTTCCTCTTTACCACTATACTACACTATGCTCTGTATCCTAGTGATTCTCATTGCCTTAATGTGTAATTTTCCTGATATTATATACCTACTGATCTTTTAGTTAATATTTCCCTAGTATACATTTTAATCCTTTTTCTGTTCCCCATATTTGCATTTACTGTCTGTCTCTAATATATAAAGCACAGAGCTGAATTTAGCTTCTTAAAAAACCCAGTATGGCAATCTGTCTTATCTTCTTCTTGTCCTTGACCTAAATTTCAATATTCTGAAATACTGTAGTGCTGACACTAACACTTTCCTCAATACACACTTGTCTTTTGTGCTTGCATAGTGCTTAGTGCTCTGTCTGGTTTCAGCTGATTTGATAGGGACTATTAGGATACTATGCATAGTACTTACTCTATGTGTAAAGTATAGCAATTTATTAAGATAAAATGAAACAAAAAACTTTTACCCAGGATCTAATAGTTTTGAATTTGGAGGGCCCTTTCAGAATATTCTTCTGTCCTCTACTGCCAGATGAGGAAGTCCAGAACTCTGAGCAAAGGAACAATGTAATCAGAGCTACACTTCAAGAAGAGCAATCCAACCTTTTCACAGAACGGAGAAAGTTGGAAGTGGAACATGTTAGAATATCATTACAATCACTCAGATGAAAGATGATCAAAATGTGCTGTAGGGTGGTGAATGAAATGAAGGAGAAGTTACTTCAGAGAACTTAAGTGAATTTTATTAAATTGTGAATTCCTCTGGCAGAAATCATATCTTCTTTATCTCCATCATCCAGCTCCTAATATAGCATGTAAGACACAGTAGGCACATGAGGAATGTTTCATGAACAAATGATATTTATCAAATCACGTAGCCCTGTCAAAGTCTGACTGATTTTCATGTGAGAGAGTAAATCTTCTGTTTGGCCTCATAGACACCAATTATTAAAGGCATTTGTAGCAGATAGAATGCTGATGGGCAGTGACAAAATTCGGAATGAGAAGAGAGAGGGAAGATGGTATTTGAGTTTCTAGAAGCCTGGCTAGTTTGCACATCATGTCTTGGTGGGTCTTAGATTGAGGGGTAGCACATCCTGCTCTGGACTGCATTGTCGCTAGATAATCCAGACCTCTGCTTTATGTTTCATTTCCTTCTGTTCATTAGAATATCTCCTGGCAAGTCAGCAAGAGAAGGAAGAGGGGGATCTTGAAAAGGACACTGGATCAGCTTCGACAACCTGGCACCAGTGGGGCCTGTGGCATGTCACCTCCGTTCTCTGAACCTTAGTTTCTTAATCTGTGCCATGGCAGTAGCAATCCTTGGCCTGTCAAATTTATTATGTTCTCTAACCAGATCCCTAGAAAAGCAGGAAAAAGTTGACAAAGAGGCAAAGACTTGACTGTAATGTTCACATGGTCAGCATGGGTATAAATTGGTATGATATGATCTTTCTGAAAGAATAATTTGGCAATGTGTTATCTAAAATGCCCAGACCCTTTACTTAACCCAGGAATTTTACCTAACTGTAGTGGGGAAAAAAAAAAAAAAAAGGAAACATGAAAAAAATTGTGTGCAGAGATACCAGCCTCAGGGTTATTTATAAAAAATAAGATATTTAAAACTACCCAAATATCCAATACTTTGATAAGTATATTATAATACAGTACTCAACATAAACATAAAAATATATGCTAAATACCTCTTGCTCTTTCCACCCCTGCACTTGCCACCCGGCCTTTGGCTGCCCTTACTCTGCTTTGCCCTGGATCTATGGCTTTCACTCTCCCACTGCCCAGCTTAGCTAGGCCTGTTCTCTTCCCTGAGAATGAATCACCAATAAACCCTACTTGCACGTTAAAAATATAAATATATATTTTCAGTAACATGGAGAAATGCTTGCAGAAATAGAATGAAAAAATTTATGTATAGTATGATCTCAATTCCATTTTAAAAGGGCTTGGAAGTATTTAGAAGGAAACTCAGATGTCCTGGAGAGCTCAGATTATATTTTGTTTTGTTTTGTTTTATTTTGTCTCTTCTACTTCTGCTTCCAGTTTTTAAATACTCAGAATATACTGCTTTAAAATCAGTAAAGAAAATACGTTTTTAAGTAGGCATTCACCTTGCGCATTCCCTGCCCTCAAAGCTGTAGCTCGTTCCCAGCAAGTCTATGCACAGGTTCCCACTGAACATTCACTGTGTGCCTAGCACTGTGCAGAGCTCATTGGACACATTGGAATACACGGTTGGATTCCATCTTCTGGGAACCTAAAGTGGGGAGATGAAATGAGTGACCATTGGACAGTTAGAAAAGCAGCAATTGCTGAGCTCCATGTTATAGACTCCAAAACCAACAGATTTAGAAAAAGTCGGGGATTGGAGATCCCTTGACAAGCCCTGGAAGGCCTCTTAAAAGACTTCTCTAAGCTGCATTTTCAATGCCGGTCAAATGCTGGAGTCCTTGACATACTGTTGGACAATTGTGGTCATAATCTAAAGGGAATGGTGACACCTTGTCTCTGAAAACCTCAAAACTTACTGTGATATATATCCTGTGGTTATAATTTACCAGATGAAGAGTTCAGATGTGCAGACACCAGGGACCTACAGATGCTTGATGGAGTGAGGTCCTGTTTTGCCCATAACAATGATGGATGTTTTGGTAATGTGTCATACCAAAAAACAAAAACGTTTTGAAGCAGCAGGTGTGGTAAAAGACCATAGACTTCAGATTCAAAGGCACCTGGGAGTTCAAAGCCACTGTTTCTGTGACTGTGATAGTTCTCTAATTATCTATTTCCTCCTTTGTAAAATTTTATGAATGACTACTTTAAAGGATGTTTACTGTGAAAAACCAGCTAACCTATGTGAAAGCATACCACTTGACACACAGGGGCTCAAAAAGTGTTAGTTCTTTCTATAATACCCTCTCTCCTCCCTGAACCCTTTTCTACTAATGCCAATCACTAGTTGGATTAGTTTTTCTCATGGTGGAGGTTAATACTGTTATTCAGGTTCTAGAGGCAAATAAATTGAGGATCAGAAAGGAGAGAAAGTGTGATTATATGCAGGCTGATCTCTTGCTTCTGGTTTCAAATTTGGATCATCACAGATCAGAGTCAGCAATTTATGGTCTGTGGGCTAAATATAGCCAGCCGTTTGTTTTTGTAAATACAGTTACAAGAGCAGAGTTAAGTGGTTACCATAGAGATGTTATGCCTTCCAAAGCCTAAAATATTTACTATCTGGCCTTGTCATAGATTATCAAAATACACTTCTAGATGACTTTTAAATTTTTTATAAAACATAACTGCTCAGGAAGTACTGATGGTTTTCATAACTGGTTTAGTTCAATCTTAATTTACTTGATCAAAAATATTTTTCTCTTCAGAGATGAAAATAAAGTAAAAATTTGGAAGCCCAAGCTTTTTAAACCAAAGGGGAAAAAAGAAAGAAAAGGTGCTGAAGAATCAGAACAGTAAGTACACAGGTGTACTTATATTACAGCTTACCAGCTGTAGTTCATACCGCTCACTGGCTATGTAAACTTAGACAAGTCAGTAAGTTTGATTTTCAGATTCTTCTACAAAATGAGAATATTAACGTCTAAACTGTAGTACAGTTGAGAGCACTAGAAAAGACAGAATATGAAAATACAAAGAGCCACACACATTTATCTTCATATCATCATCCGTTTTTGTGCTTTTGGTGAATAGGGAGCAAGGAAAGATTTCAAGCCAGCCCTTGTCAAACAATGAAAAATTTTCAGTCTTCTTTCAGGCTAAAAGGACTTTTCCCCTATAAGACAAACCTTAAATAATACACCAATTTGAACTTAAATAAAACTAGGTATATATAGTAAGACTGATTTCCCTAAAATACAATATAATTCTATTTATGTCTACATTAGTGTTAGAATTACAAAAGAATGTTTTATCAATTCAAAATCTACAATTCACTCATGTGGTTCAAGTTCCCAGCTGGCTGTTGGGGGAGGTGATTTTCTTTTATTGTCTCAGATGTATACTTGGTGCTCAGTGCTCCAGACTACCTTAGTAACTAGGAAGTGGGGCAGATCTGAGGTTTAACCAGTGTCTTTGGGAAATCCTCATCTAAATAAGTCATTAAGCTGGGATCACTGTGAGGTCTCTCTGCTTTGAGAAGCCTGTCTAGAAAAGTCCTACAGAGACACCTCCAAAGAAGTAAGACATTAGTCTACATCAAATTTAAATGCAGAGGATGGCATACAATGACCCTTCGTTTATTTTCTTTGGGTTTAGACTTGATGTAATTTATTTTTTCCAAGTTGGAAAGATGTATTCACAGACTAGAAAGCCCTTCCCACCTTAAACTTCATACCTTCGCACAGCACAGTAAAACAGAATTCCAAGAGAGGAAATAATAGAAATTTTTACTGCCCACCCTCTACCCCTCAAAAAAGGCTTTTTAGTATTTTAATGTCTACACATAAGTCTTTTTAGGAAACAATTTTCTAGTGCTTCTTTTGTATCAATTTATTGTAAGAATTTAAAAGTTTACTTTTATTCTCAACTGAATTTGAAAACGTGATAAATTTTACAGTGCAGCTAGATTGAAGTTATTGTTACTCCTATAGATTTCTCAATTTTCAAATGTTCCTGAGTCCTTTGAGTGGTTTCTACAGTAACTGATCCTACCAATAATAAATGTTTTTTTATATTAGTACAATGCTGTCATTAGTCCTTTATTAATCAAAGATGATGTTTTCAGAGAAGCTGCGGAAGGGTATGACAGGTATAAAGTCATAGGTATGATAGCCCACCTTATAAGATGTTCCCACCAGGAGAATATATGACTTTATCTTGTAGGCAGTAGAGAGAAATTAAAAAGTTTTAAGCAAGTGAGTGACGTTGTCAATTAAATTTTAGAAAGATGACTGGAGGCAGGTATGCAGGTGAATTCACAGAAGGAAAGACAAGAGGAAGGTGCTATTTCCAGTGCCAAGTGGCCATACCCTAAAATATGGCAGTGACTGTAATTTTGGATGGAACAAAACATATATAGATACTTCTGTATAAAACTGATGGTTTGTTTGACCTGTTTTCCTCTATTGATACATAAAACTACTACAATGGAGCACCAACCCCCATCTGAAGAGTGAGAGGAAGGAAAAGGCAGAAGGAAACCATAACCATCAGCCTCTGCTGTGTGGTTTTCCACTTTTCATGTCCTGAATTTTTTGCATGTATTTTGTGGCATCTTGCACTTTATTTTCTTAATTCTATCTTCTCCATAATCATTCATCAAACTGGAAAGTACTTTGATGCACAGAGATTTTTGATTCCCCAATAAGGTTTGAAAACTTGAAAAACCACAGGATGTAAGCCACTTACTCACTCGTACAGGTTTCTATTAAGCAAGCTGAGGGTGAGTGGGACTCACCCTCAGCTTTATATAACTATCCTTAAGTTCCTTCTTTTTTAAATTAGTTATACTTATAAATATGATTCAGAGAAGCTTCTTAACTTAAATTCTTCAATTAGATGTCATTCCAAGTTATCTTGCTGTCAAAAAAAAAAAAGTGGTTTTAATTGTAGGGGGAAAAAACTGGTATTACTCTTCTTTGGTTTTGACAATCTGCTCTGGTGGAAATGTGTGTGTGTGATAAAATGTATATAAAATTATACATACACACAAATTATATCTAAATTTATCCTGAAATAGCATGCCTAAATTTGGAAATTTGAGTTTTAACCCAACCTGTATTTTTCTTGCCAGCCTATCACCTAGAAATTTCTTCAGAACCAAGAAACAAAACTTAGAAAAGGACAGAATGGAAAGAGAAAAACTTTTTAGAGAAAGATTTGAGGTATGTTGTCTCCTGGAAGTAAAAATTAATATTAAAGGCTAGAAACTTGTTTTTAAACGATCTGTAATTGTGTTACACCTCTGCCCTCTGAGATTGAGGAATGATTTTTTTTTCCTGATACATTTCTGTATTATCATGCCTTTGTATATGCAATTTTCTCTGCCTGGAAGAATTCCTAAGTCGCTCAGTTCAAATGTCACCCACTCTTCCATAACTCCTCTCCTCCAGGCAAAGTTAACCCCACAGCACATTTTTAAAAAATCTATTCTATACATATTCTACAGTTGTTAGCACACTGAACTGTATTACAACCTGTGTGTGCACATGCACATTTGGAACTAAAACTCTTTGAGTCCTTTTTAAAGGAAAGATTTTGTCTCATTCAGATTTGCTCCCCAGCTCCCAACCTAAAACTGGTCACAATGTTCAGTGAATGAATGAATCGCTACACAAATAAATGAGCAATAAATGAATGAATGAAGCATCTGAAGCTCCTTGACTTCTTATCCTGTCACTGAGAGTCCATGGAGCATTTTTCTGTAATTCCAACTAAATCAAAAGATGCTCCCTTCTGATTTTTATATACTGTCAAAATAAGAATTAATTTAAGAGACATAGTGGACACCTCCCACATGCCAGACACTGAATTGAGAGAGACAGAGTATGCATCCTGCTCATAAAATTTGTCCAAGTTACTTGTCTGCCTAAAACTTTCAAAAGACCCCCGTTTCCTAATGGATCAAGTTTAGGCCTCTTTACAAGGCGCATGCAACTTTTCATGTCATGAAGACACACACGTTTGCAGTAGGTAATTTCATACTACCAAATTGCAAACTGTGATGTTATTTGACTAGTTGAAAAAGAGCAGTGTAACAATTTCTTGTTAAAAAGACCCTGGCTTTCCATTTGGTGCATTTCTCCCCACTGTTGTTGGACTGTCTCATGTGGGACAGAAATCCCTTCTCTCATGCTTGTATGATTCCATTCCTCATTATCACCTATTGTGGGTTTCCTTGCTGTCTCATTAGGAAAAAAGTATGCCATTTCAATAACTTTTATTCAGCTGAAATCACAAAATATTGGGTACATTTGTGCCAAGCATGGAAGGTACGAGGATGAATAAAATTGTCTTCCACTTTCATTTTTAACACAAAATATTTATATGTTATAACACCACTATACACAAAATGCAATTAAAACAGTAAATTATACATAGCAATCAAGAAAGTCTTCATGTAAGGAGATTAAAAGAAAACAAGTGTATTCCAGGCAGAGAAAACAGCATGAGCAATGGCAATGAAACATGAAGGGATGTGGTATATTCAGGATTATGATATAGCTTGATGTGGTTTCAGTAAAAGGGACTGAAATGGGGGCATGAGGAGTGACAGTATATAAAGGACTTTGAATGTCAAGCTAAGAAGTGTGGATTTTATCTTGAAAGCAACAAAGAGTTTTTAGAACTATAAAAAGGAAAGTGACCTAATCTGATTTGCATTCTAAAAATCACTGTGTATTCATATTGAACAATGGCCCAGAAAGGGTAAGAAATCAGCTAGGAAGCATCTCTCATGTATCAGATCGCACTTGGTACAAGGTGATCTTATTCATCACCCAAATTCAGGAGACTTTTGAGAGTGGAGGGAGGCACACCTAATCATAAGTAGAAAGTATCTGTAAAAAAAGATTGCCCTGAGCAAAGGGGAGATGTTTGACCACCCAAATTTTGTGAAGTAGACATCTGTAAATATAAGCTGTATATTCTGGAACTATTTCTTCCTCAAAGAATTCCAGTACATTAGATGGTGATGTACCTGTGAATGCATAGGTCAGCTGCTTTAACACATCAAAAAAGAAAAACAAAGCTCCCTTGAGGTCAGATACTAAATTGCTCATCAATTATTTTTCACAAATGCCTGTCTTTGACCACAAGAAGAGAGTGGGAAATGCCCCACACACATTTTAAATGTGTGCTATTGCTAAATATAAGAATATATAAACCCACCAGAGAAAAAAGTGGACAGTGCCACCTAGAAACGCTGGGTATGTAAGAACGTTATAAACTGTAGGAGGGTTTTCTCTTCCTCTCCCGCTTTTTAAACTTCTCTTTTCCTGGGGTTTGGTGATAACTTCATTACTGCAATAGTTAACATACTACTCATAGCAGTTAATGTAAACCCATGTTCCAGTCCTCTCATTTACCAGAATTCATTCTAGTACAATTAGATAATGGGTTGAAAATATATTCATACTGACCAAATATAGAATTGTGGCATTTAACCATTATTTCCTTAAATCCTTTCATTATCTTGCTATTATTTTCTATTATTATTTAACTAATATCTAACATCTTGAGTTTATTTTGAGGTCACTATCTTAATTTTATTATAATGAAAAGATAAAAACCATGCAAGCATATCTGATCCATAATTTCTCGTTTCAGTATGACAAAGAGATTACTGTCATCAACACAGCAGTGGCATGTTCCTGTAATTCAAGAAATGGAATATTTGATTTGTCAATAACCCCTGGAGAAGAACTCGAAATCATTGATATCGCTGAAGAAAATCTAGTGATATGTCGCAATTCTAAAGGCAAATGTAAGTTATTGGCTTATTGCCCATAACATTTCACTGTTTTAAAAATTCTCAGCACTAACTTTCAGTGATTTTCGTTTCTATAGATGGATATGTGCTAATCGACCATCTAAATTTCAAGTAAGTGGTTTGATTTTATATTTCAAATCATGAATTTTAAATATTTAACACATTGTGTACATTAGTTTCAAGGAAATACTACTAAATTTATTTACTTTCAGGAAAAAATTTGACAAGTAGATATGCAATGCCCTATTCTATGAGGATTACTTTGGAAGAGACTTTATTATTGTGTCTCCAGAGTGTGTTATCAAACTTCTCTACAGAGCATATTTATAAACATTTTAAAAGACCATACAAATATTAAACTGGATAAGAAATTCCCCCTGAAATCTCCTGTTCACTACTCCACTGGTTTATATTTCAAAATATATTTTTTATTTTTTCTCAGGTATCAAGGGTGGTCATCTTAGGAAGATCAACATCAAATGTATGGATGCACAAGTGAGAACTAGTTCTAAGATATTCGTCCTGCTCCTATGAGTTTCAGTTTACATGTCAAAATGAGATGGCAGAAACTTTAGTTGGGAACCTAAGAGAGAAAATAAACCCTCCACGTTTAGTTGGTTTTCACTCCTAAAAACTTATCTTTCCTTGTCTATTTTAGTATCTATTTCACTGCTGGCTCAGAATGTGAAACAGTGTGTGCCAGCATTTGAGCACTTTATTCAGTGAGCCACATCCAAAGTAAGCAATCATGCCTTATGGCACTACCTAGTCAGTTGTACAGATAGTTAACACACTTCTCATATTAGTACACAAGTGTTTAGAATTTCTAAAAGATGCTGTCCATTTAAATTGGGTGTAATTTAATTTTGAAAAAAATAAGTGTAACCAAGGTCTTTTAAATACTGAAAATATAATCTTGAAATAATTACACTTCAGTCTTTAAAAAATCAAGGTGTAAGTGCTCTGCTTTATCACAAAACCAAACTTGACTCAAAATCACAAGACTCAAAATACTGCTCAAAGTTGGTTTCTTTTATGAATAGTGTACCAAAAAGTAATTTATTAGTAAATTCACCCAACAGCACTTAAATTATGCTGTATTGGTTTAACATAGCATGCTGTCCAAAATAAGTAATACTTACTTGTCGATTCAAATAACAGAATTCATATATGTTTTTACTTACATGAAAGTAAATAAAATTAAGCTGAGCTGTTAATAACATTCTGTATTTTAAATGATGTACACTGCCTCTTAAGGAGGATGATTCTGGCCTTCAAGGGTGTAAATTTATTTCTTACGCTTCTAGGTTCTTTATTTTTCAAGTTCCAAACAGCATTTGCCAAAAAAAGGCCAAACTCATTCTAGAAGAAAAGAATCTAATATATTATAGAGTTTAGAGAGGAAAATAGATGTGAATGAAATGCGTAGAAGATTAACAACAAAGGTTTTGCAGAGAAGGTGGCACTGCAGCTTGGTCTTTAATCACAAGCACAAATGCTAAACAAGGCACAGAGATGGAAAGTCCATGATCTCTGGTGTCTAGGAAGAAATCGCAAGGAAATGGAGTGCGCTGTGTCTCGTAGGAAAGGGCAAGAGCTGGAACAGGGTAAGCTGGGGCTAGAATATGACAGAGTTTTTATCGAAGACCTTTTTCAGGAAGGTAATGTCAGATGTCTAGAGAGAAAAGAAAAAAGAAAAAACAATCACAGCAATATGGGCGATAAATTAGAGAGAGGAGAGACTAGTTGTTTTTGCAATATTCTAGGCAAAAGAGCACTTGACCATAAGACAGCTGCAATAACATAGGACAGAAGCCCCATTAGTTACAAAGGTAAGGAAACAGAGTTCTTGGTGATAGATTAGAGGTGAGAGAAAGAATTAGGGAATGACTCCAAGATATCTTTTTTGGGGAGCTGAGATTAAGGATGGTACCAAAATGGAGAATATATTTCTGTTTGGATCCTCCTGAATTAAATTTACATCCTCAGTGAAATGCAGGGCATTTGGGTGACTGCTGCCCCTCCTACACTGCGACTAGAGCTGTTCCTGTGGGCGCTATTGCAGAAGGGCAGGATAAGTATGGCCTGTGGGTAAGGAAGGAGTGACCTTTAATGGAATAATCCTGTAAAAAAGAGAATCATACACCATTTATTACTCTTGCCACCTGACCAAAACATGAAGTATTTTAAATCCTATAGTGGCAATAGGATTAAATTTCAACTAAGATGGGTTTGTGGCATACACTTTCTATCTCATCCCCTGACCTCTTATTCTAATTCCATGACTCAGCTCTGCGTCTCTATTTTCTCATTAGTAAAACAGGGCTAATAATACTCACCTTGTCTACTTCACAGGGTTCTTGTCAGGCTGTAATGTAATAACATAAATAAAAGTGTCCTAAAAGTAGATTAGTGTTGCTATTTTAGTACCTGGCCTTTTCTGAAGTTGGAAGATGTGAAAAACAAGTATGTTTTGAAATTCAATTCTTAAGACTTAAGTGGCTGGGATGTACTAATTTTACATAGATATAGTTAATGGGATTTTAAAACTAAACATTCTTCTACATTTTTAAAGTATAAACCATTTGATTCAATACAAACTAGTATCTGGTCATTATTTGTTGATATGGACTATATCTTTAGGAAAAATAATTGCTTTTATCCATACTCAATGTGATTGTTTCTATTTCACTGTCAGCCACATTTCTTTCTTTACATCATCCAACTGAAACTAAATTTCTCACACAATCATTCTGTAAGATCATCTAATATATATAAACATTATAACTAAGATTTAAGTGATGCCATCTGTCTCCTAGAAACCCAAATCTAGCATAAAGTTGCAATGGAAATGCTAAGTCTCCATTTTACTTTGAATTTTGCATGAAAACATACCAGTAAAGATAACATTCTGTCAGATAAAAACATACAAAGGTACTTGACCCTAACAGAGGCTAACATTGGCCCATGCAGATTCATCTGCCAGCCAAGTCACCAGTGGCCTGTTAACACATGCAACACAACCTCCTCTTCCTCCTTTGAGTACTTCTGTGAAACGCTTGGTCTTTCAAGATGACATAGCATTCTCTTGACCAAGCCCTCTCCTGCACATCTTCAGAACTTTTAAAACATATATTCTAGGGGAAGAATAGGAAGAGAAAAAAATGGAAATATAGCAACAAATTCCTAAGAAGTTTTTTCTGGGTAACAGGGTTAGGATGATTTTCTTTTCAGCTTCTTCAAACTTCCTGTACTTTTCAAATGTCCCATCATAAGCGTCTACTACCCATGGAATTTAGGAAATAAAGGAAAAACATTTTCACAAATAAATACAAATTCTCCTAAATTTGGAAAAGCAAATTAAAATGTTTACTTATATATTTTCAATGTTTTGTTTGAGAACTAAAAGTACAATGTTTTTCAAAAAGTTGCTTTTAGGTATATAAAGATTGATGGTTACCATTATCAGTAGTACACAGGCTCATATCTGTGTTGCTTGTTCTCTCTTTTCAGTAGCTGTAAGTATAAAATTCTAGTGCTACCTGAGATCTTCTAAGTCTTTCCCTTCCTGTTCCATGGCTGTGGTCAGCAGAACTTTGGCCTCCACAACTTTCTTGCTCTGGCACTATATCTGTAAATAAGTTGTGTGACTCTATAGATAAAATTAAGGTTGCTAAGTTGACCTTAAAATAGGGAGATTGTCCAGGTGAGGCCTATTTGCATAGGCCTTTAAAATAAGAAGAGTCAGTCAGACGTGTCGTAGAAGAGGCAGGAGACATTTGAACCTTGAGCCTCCTGTTCCTGGCTCTGAAGATGAAGGGAGCCATGGTCCAGAGGATGGTAATGGCCTCTAGAAGCTGCATGTGACCCCTACTGAGGAAGCAGACCTCAGTCTCACAGCAGCATGAAATCCTGTCAAAAGTTTGAATGAGGCTTAAAAGATTTGCCCCTAGACCCAAGCCCTACAAACACATCCACTTGCAGCCTTTTGTGGCTGGAAACAAAAACACTAGCTCCGCCTGCTGAATTTCTGTACAGAACTGTAAGATAAAGTTGTTCTGGAAGTGAAATCAGCATCATGGCAGAATGAAACAACCTCCTTTGTATATCTCCTTAAATTGACAATTAGTAGAACCCAATAAAGGTTCCTCTGCTCAGCATCCTGGGACACCTGAAAGTGGGTGTACTGGCATGCACAGAGAAGGCAGAGGGGGAGCTCTCTAGATGCCAGGGTGGAGCCTGAACCCCAGCCAATGAGGTAGTGGAGGAGGAGTTGGGGTGTGGCCCCTGCACCACAGCCTGACAGAAGGTAAGGGGCCAGCATCTAAGTTAGCACCTGAGAACCTGGCTCCCTCCCATGGACTGTGGTGGTGCTTGTACCACTGGAGCCTGTGGCAGCAGTGGAGACAGGTCTCCAGCCTCCTAGCCACAGCACCAGGTAATAGCATGACAAGCTCACAAACCTGGCCACCCCAACACCTGCCACCTCTCCCTGCCAGGGTGGTGGTGACCCAAGACCCAGGCAACCCAGACACAGCAGGGGCACCCACCACCCTCATCACCCAGGTGGCGCCTTCCGCAAGCACAGTGATGCCCTCCCACCCGTCCACCACCAAAAAGACGTCAACAGCACGGGGCACCAGAAATCAGGAAGAACCAAGTACTGTGCACATAAGAGAAAGCTAAAACCTGTTATAGCATCTTCTACTGGAAAACAAAAGATCTCTAATTATCAACCTGCTGAACTGTTAAAATCAAAATAGTACCTAAGCATGGAGCGTATTCACTACTTTAAATGCTCCAGAAGAGGAACACCACATCCAACACCATGAATGACAAAGTAACCTTGTATCACAAAGAGAAAATTACAATTCCCTAGAAACCGAATTCATCAAAGTCATGGAAGACTGTGACTTAAATGATAGAGAATTCAAAATAGCAGTCACAAAGAAACTCAATGAAATAGAAGAGAACTCCGAAAAAGGGAACCCAGAAATTCCACTTCTGGGAATACAGCCTAAGAATCCTGAAAACACTAATTCAAAAGAATATATGCACCTCTATGTTCACTGCAGCATTATTTAAAATAGCCAAGATCTGGAAACAGCCCAAGTGCCTTTCAGTAGATGATATAAAAAAGCTGTGGTATATTTGCACATTGAACTACTCCACAACTATAAAGAAGGAAATCCTAACGTTTGCAACAGCATGGATGGACCTGGAGAGCATTATGTTAAGTGAAATAAGCCATTCAGAAAAAGACAAATAGCATATGATCTCACTTATGTGTGGAATCTAATGAACAAAATAAACTTAAATAGAAACAGAGGCATGGATACATGGAACAGACTGATAGCTGTCAGAGCAGAATGGGGGTGGGGGGACTGGAAGAAAGAAAGTGAAGGGATTAGCCAAAAAACATATGTGCATGACACACAGAGACAATAGTGTGGTGATGGCCAGAGGGAAGAGGTGGCAGGGCCTGGGTGGAGGTGGAGGTGAGCAAATGGGGAAGAGGGAATAGGAACATCTGTAATAGTGTCAAACAGTAAAAATAATTTTAAAAAAGAATAAAATTAATGAACAGGAGTACTTTACCAAAGAGATTGAAACTCTAAAAAATAACCAGACAGAAATTCTGGAGCTAAGGAACTCAATAAATGAGTTGAAGAATGCATTAGAAAGAACAGGAAATATAGCAGACAAATCATAAGGAAGAGAGAATTAGTGAGCTCAAAGACAGAAATCTGGAAGTAATTCAGGTTGGTGAGGAGAGAAAAACAAAAATTTTTAAAAATGAAAGAACTCTATGAGAACAATCTAACTCCATCAAAAGGACAATATAAGGATAATGGGTATCCCAGAAGCAGAAGAGAGGGAAAAGGGAACAGGACAAATAAGTACAAGAAACTAACAGGATACTAATTACCTCAGTGGAGAGACCTTCTCCAAGACACAAAACTCAAAAGTTAATGATAAAGAATAGTCAAGGTTTCCAGGGGGGAATAAAACACAGTAACCTATGAAAGAAACCCCATCAGATTATCACCTCTTACCAGAAACCCTACAGGCCAGGAGAGAGAGAGAAATAAGAGAGAAAATCACCAGCCCAGGACACTCTAACAGTTATCCTTGAGGTACAAAGGGGAAATTAAGGCTTCCCAGACAAACAAAAGGTGGGGGAATTTACCACCACAAGATTGACGTTACAAGCAATGTTGAAAGGAGCTCTTCGACCTAAACGAAAAAGACAAAAATGCACAAAATTTTGAGTAAGGTATCCAACAGAAGCAGTAAATTTTAACTTTATTTCAGTATGGGATGTTAAACACTTAAATATAACAAAAGGAAGAAAGCATTAAAAACTTTAGCTACTTCATTTTTATCATACAATAGATTCCATCCATTCACTGTACTTTTCTGAGTTGTCCTACATGCAAGTACATGATTTTAACATTGTCTGTGTTCTGTGCTGTTCCTGTAAGTTTGCTATTAAAATACACTGAACTATAAAAAAAATTTTAGTGACTTCAATTTGGCAATGAACACAAGTATATTAAGGGATAATCCATGACAACAAAAACATAAAAAGGAGGCAGAAAAGAATGAAACTTGCTTAGATAATTGAAGATAAGATGTTATGAGCATAAAAATGACTATTTTATCTGTGAGACATTTTATACAAGCTTTACAGTAAACACAAAACAAAAATATAGAGCTCAGACATGAAACATTAAAAAAGGAGGAAATGGAGAAAAACATCACAGAAAACCACCAAACTAAAATAGACAGAAACACAATGGGAAAGAAACAGTGGATATGCAGGACAACCAGAAATCGAAGGATAAAATGGCAATAGTAAGTCTATACAATAATCACTCTGAATGTAAATGGGCTGAACTCATTAATCAAAAGGCACAAAATAAATGAATGGATTAAAAAACAAGACCCAACTATATGATCCTCCTCAGGGGAGACCCATCTCTGTTCTAAAGACACATATAGACTCAAAGTGAAGGGACTGGAAGATGACTCCTCAAGCAAGTCGTAT